TTTATAATTTTTATTATTTCAAAAATTGGTTTCCTTCCTTGCTATTTTAATGCTCTTTTTTTATGTGAATCGAACAAGGTAAAAGGGATAAAAAAATAACTTTCTGTGATGTTGATATTTTATGGAGTCAATAATTTAATAATTAATAAAATATATTTTTAAATCAATAATTTAATTAAGTTTTAGAGCTTTTAATTCTATAAACAGCGTTTATCATTGACTTGTAAACTGTCATTGCAAAACGAGCAATTTACCGGAAAGTCGTCTGGAGACACACGCAGAGAATGTGACATGTTAAAGGTGTTTCGCTACGCTTTCGCGCTTGGCAGCGGCGTTTGTGCAGAAAAAGATGGCGCTTCCGAAGGTCTCTCTAGGAAAAGCAAGGGTCTCGGTCCCGTGGTCGGCGAGCAAGGGTATAAAGTAAGTGCTAGTGGCGACGCATTGCTCTTTCTCTGTACCTCTCTCTGACAGAATGAAGGACTTGGTAGTCGCTGCGCCTAACAACGCCGGTCCCAAAAACGGAACTTCGGCGGTCCAGGTCAAATCTACCTTGGAGGAAGACAAAAATGGTCAGTACATTCATCTCAATTCGTTTACATCGGAAATATTTCGCAGCAAGTTAAAAAAGAATTTTATTCTGGTATCGCATGTGCTAAAAATAGATTCGTGATAAGTGAAAACGAGTTTGGTAATTTACATGGTTGCTATTTTTGGCAAAGTAAAAGCATTTCATGAGCAAATATCTACTGACGGCGATTTCTCGCCATCAAAAACCACCTGTTTGGTCTTCAGGTTTTTAACAGGCAGCTCACGATTTATAATGGATACTATTTTTTATGGGATGGTTTAATAAAAATAAACGAATCTAAATATAGCCGAAATGTGAAAGCTGCACTTTTTGTAAGGTGACCGGTTTGACTATATGACGATGATGCCGGCCGCTTTTTCGGAGACATTTGCCTAAATTTAACAAATTAATCTTTTTCAATTGCCTAAGTCAAGGCTGATGCCAAATTTGAACGAATGTGTCTGCTTCAATGTCACTTAAAAATAAATTTGTTGATCCAATTTTACCGGTTGACGGGTTTATAAAATGACCAATAAATTAAGCCAACAAAAAATGATTAATTAAATCTCAGAAATTACAAATTTATTAATCAATACAAAAAAAATCTACCCCCCCCCCCCTATTGAATTTGTTGTGGGTTACTCTCATTTTTTTTTAAAGCCATGTGCCTGCAGCCTGAGACCCACCAAATGTCAATGTTTATTAAGCAAATCTGTTATAATATAAAAATATCTCTGAGACGAAAAACAAAAATCGTTGGCCTTGGTTGTCCCAGTTATGTGAAATGATTTTTTATATAATATTATGCTAGATTTATTTTATAAATCTTGTAATTTTATAGAGTCACAAAAATCTGAGCGTACGATTTTCCCTTCCAAACAACACAGACAAACTTTCTTTGCTCTCAAACTCTGCAGTGAAACTTGTATGCGCCTCATTGCTAAATTTTATCTTATAGATTTTGTCGCTAGTTTAACTTAGCCTGAGCAGGAAGTACGCTGATCATTTTTTTTCCATTATAAAAAATAATAATATAATAATAAAACTTGTTATGATAGAGAGGCTTTTAACGCCACGATTAGCATCGCCGATTTTCGCGGTGAAGTGACAGCAGTTACTATAAAAGTGTCAAATTAATCGATTTTTTAAATTTCCAATTCTTTTTTTCAAAATTCCATCCTTGCATAACTCCTTTTAAAGTTACATAACTTTGGCTAATGGGCTTAACGATATATATACATTTTATTTTTTTATTTTTTTTTTTTTTACATTTTTCACTCCTTGGACCACTTTCGTTATTAACGCTTCAACTCGTTTGGGATTTAATTCAAGTTCACGTACGGAGAAAAATATATATTATGCTTTTGCATAATCTGGAACCTCACGTGTGATTTGTAATCTAGCTGAAGCAGAAAATGTAGAGCAGCAGCCGCGAAGGAAAAGGGTAATGTCAAAGTCGATTGCTCCTGCTGCATTCGCGCACAAGGCTATATACCTGTGACGCTCTTTCAGGTGTTTGCATACTTTTTTGCCTCCGGTGAACAATCCTTGTGCACTATTATTATTACAATTATCCTTTGTTTGGTACCAATTACATTAACTATTTATTGATATTAAAAAATATCTATTAATGAATATTTTTACTATTTTTTGCTGTTGTTTCTTTTTTCCTCCAACGTTATTAATGATCAATGAGATGGTTATTTTAGCATTAAATTAAAGGCAGTTAAATCAAAATATTAAAAGTGAGTAATAATATTATTTAAAATCATTCCAATAATTATTTTAAATAATTCACTTAAAATACCGTACAAGAGAGACATACACAAGTACAGAGTATTTTGAAACGCAAAATTCATTTATGCCAGTAAACAAAACTCGAAAACTTCTGTGCGAGTTGAGGAAAGGCAGGTTTTCAATTGATAAAATCTATTGAAAGTTAATAATTACTTGACATGCCACATTTTCTAAATGGAGGGATAAAATAAACTCTTACAATTAGATCCTTTTTGTTTCTTTGGTTACATTAGTCAAAACCGTTTGAATCTTTAAAAAATTATAACTTGTAACGTGGCTGCATACTTTTAGAATAACTATCATTGAAAAGGAACAATTGATTTTATTATTTATAGTTTTAAATTTGGCGTCATCAATTTTGACTCACAAAAATCTGTCCCACTGTGTCCCACCAACAAGACCATTGATTTTAAAGTTCAATTAATTTTTGCGCTTTAAAATAAATCTTTAAACTTAGAGTTTGTAATTTAAAACTGAAGTAAAGAAATGTAAGCTATATTAAATAATAATTTTTCAATGGACATTCAAAACTCAATATAAATATTATTCACATTATATATTTGTCCATAATTTTTTTTTTATTAATTTATTTAATTGAATTGTCTCTCACGTACTCCACTATCACATTCAATTACATCACGTTTAAAATTTTCCCTGTGTGTATGTGATGTCGCAGAGTGGGAAAACTCGTTCAACTTTATTACCTTTATAAGCATAATAATAATACTGCTTGCGTCTCGAGGATTCCCCTGCAATTTTTACTTTTCCTTCCTCTTTATGTTATCTTCTCTTCATATTTTACGCATTTTGTATTATGGATCTTGATTTTAAAGTTTCCCCTGGTCACCTTCACCTTTAATTGCAAAAGAGGCGCAATTTTCATTATGGCTTGACCTTGGTGCCTAAAATGCATTTCCTTCTTATCGCGATGTGGAAAGCGTCTTAAATTTGCATAAAAATAAATATTCCGCGTTTTTCTGAGTGGGCTGTTTTGGCAAGACGTTGATGTATTTTATTATATAAAGTTTTTGCATTGAGAAAATTGACTGGAGATGGTGGCATAGTAAAATACAACATAGACGTGATCAAAATATTTGCCTACCTCTGGCTCACTCTGGCTAGACTCAAATCTTACATAACATTTTCTCGCCTGTTCTGCTAATAACCTGTTTGACCAGTGAAATCGTATTTTGATTTCTGTTTGTTTTGCAATCCTTAAATTTATAGGGAATTAGGTTTAAAATAAATATTTCTTTGTTGAGGTAAATCTAAAAGATAGAATGTATTTAATAAATCTGAATAATCAATGGGGGATATTCGCATGTGCTAAGTTAGTACCAGCAATTCCTATAAGCCAAGCTAGCTTAGCATGTTAATACTTCCCATTGATTATTTAGATTTCTTCAATACACTCCATCATTTAGATTTATTTCAAAGAAGAAATGTTTATTTTATACCTAATTCACCTCTATAGTTATGATTTCAAAACAAACTAAAATCAAAATTAAATTTATTAAGATGAATAACTTCAAAACTTGGCTTGGATTCCAATTCCTCAAATATAAAAGCATTATTTTTAATCTAAAGTAATGTTTTTCTTTTTGAGGAATTGAAATAGAACCGATGAGTGAGAACAAATATTTTGATCGAACTTCTCAGTTCATTTTGCCACGGTTGTGGAATTTATTGCCACTCGAATTAAAAAATTTACAAACCAAGACGGAAGTGAAATTGAAAATAAAAAAATTGTACTTGTCCATGAATTAGCTTGTGACACACTTGTTTGTAATAATTCTGTGCATATTTTGTTAGTTGTATAGCTGGCGAGCAAATTGCTCGTCAGTTAGCGTGAGCACCAGCCGATAAGCTTTCGAGCTTGGCTGGACTTGTATCATAAAATAAATAAATATCTTTAATAAAAAAAAATAAAAAAATGTATGACGTTTTTCACATTAGTAAGTTTAATTTTTTAAAGCTTTCTTGAAATGATAATAAAAAATTTACTAAGGATACAATTTATAAAAATACAAAAGTTTTCATTTTAAAATCTTCCAGTAAAAAATTTTGTATAACATGTTCTATACTTTGACAGCTTTAATTTCAGATTATCCTTTCAAAAATAAAAAATGCACTGAAATTTTCAGTAGGTTTGGAGATAATTTGAAATTTCTAAGAAAAACGTGTATGTAATTCTTCTATTATGCTGTACACTAAAAATAGCCAACAACACCCCTGTACCCTTCGCGAAACGTGATACGAGTCGAAGAAATCACACGTGTATCGTGAGTTGTCCTTGAATGCAAATTAATTGCCATCTGCAAAAGAATGCCCACGTAAACGACAACCGAAATTCTGCGGCCGAGTAGAAGAGGAGGAGCGGAAGATTAATGCAAGAGTGGATCAGAGCTCGACCTCGTCGTCTTCCACGTGACTTTTGTAGCCAGAGGAGAGAGGTAGAGGGGTCGCATGACCGAAGATTTTTTTTTTGTCAAAGCACACACATTTTTAAAATCCATCGCGTGGAGTGGCGAAAAAAGTTGTGTGACCAACAGGTTGGCGGAAAAGGACGAGGTGCGTGCGGGATCCACCGCGTCGCGCCCGTGGTACCCCGAGTGCGCGTTCGAGGAGGGGAGTCGGAGCAGATAAATACAAGAGAGGTCGCGGAGCCGGAGCAGTACGCACGACCCGTCCACCAGCACCATGAGCACCGCGCACCAGAACGGCACCGTCCCCCAGGAGGTCACCAAAGCGCCTCCGGTGTCCCACTTGAGGACCGTGTCGTGGTCTGAGAGTCTCGACGAGAAGGAACTCGACGTTCCCGGCACTCCTCGTGGCCCTCGCACCTCCACCACTCCAGGTACCACCCTTTGAAACCGTGAATTTTCTGCAATTATGGACAACAGACTCGAATTAGCCAATTGACTTAAAAAATTAATAAAGATATACAACATTAACATTTGTTTCAACTCAAAAAATTCAATTTTACATACACATTAATTTCTTTATTTCACTAAATTCAAACTCTTAATTTTTCTATAATTTAATAAATCTAAAGAGCAAATTTTTATCATCTAGAGAAATCAATTTAAATATGATCTTCATTATTGTGATATTTTTTTTTTTACTAAATTTTAATTAAAAATTTTTATTTCGTCTGATTAACAAAACGTTAAATTTACTTTTATTAAATTATTTCTTATTAACCCACATAAATTTCAAAGTTATTGGCTGTTTAATTTAAATTTATGAACATATTTGTTATAAATATATTAGAAAATAAGAAAGTGCTGTGGAAATTTTTGATTTAGGAATTTGTCTGCCTCCAACTTGCAAGAGTCTCACTCTGAGGTGTACTAAAATGCGTCCACACACCGACAGTTCAAAGAAAGGCGTCGCAAACAGGTTGGCTGAAGACAAGGCCGATGTGTGCAGCGCAAATTATTCTGTCTCTCTCTCTCTCTACTCTAACATAAATACTGTGTTTACTTTTGCCATTGCATGCATTTTTCTTATACACGACAATACACGATGATTAATTAACGTGTCACTTTCTGCTCCAGCGATGATCATTTGCAATAGTTTGTAGACCTTTCTTTCTCTATAAATATCTCAAAGAGCTTGTCAGCAGTTTCGAAATAATCAAAAGATAAGTCAAAATGTAATAAATTTTAATGTCTAACAGTAGATCAGCGTTTTGCAACAAATACAAAGTCTGACAATTAATTTTATCCATATTTCTAAAAGTGGATTATTATTGAGCGAGCTTAGCACAAAATAATCAATACCAAAGTGATAGACGATGAATAATTGAAAAGCAATACGTCTCTTTATCGCAAAACAGCTCCGACGAAAAAAGAAATAAAATATCCCAAACATTATGAATGGATGTGCTCTGTTGAAATTTTGGCTTTAGCGAAGTGCTGACAAGCGAATCGACAAGCGTGACTCACCCTTGACCTTCATCAAACGGGTCAACGGTCAGTCTGTCAATATATTTCCTTATCAGCCGAGCACATTATTCCACTCTTAATTAAATTGAATTTTGATACCATGTTCGAATTGCGTGCTCTAATTTTTCGCAGGCCACGAAAACTGCACCTTCCACCATGACATGGAGCTGGACCACCGACCACCCACCAGAGAGAGCCTTTTGCCCGAAATGTCCCGCTCCTACCGTCTGCTGCTGTCCAGCCTCGGCGAAAACCCCGACCGACAAGGGCTGCTGAAGACCCCTGAGAGGGCCGCCAAGGCCATGCTGTTCTTCACCAAGGGCTACGACCAGAGTCTCGAAGGTCAGTCACCTTTAAAAATAATTTGAATGGCTCCAACCTTAAAGTTTTCAATTAAAACGTTACTTTTTTGCATATGGCCCTGAAGTTCCTTAACTTTTTAATCCGTATGTAAATTGAAGCGAATTAGCAACGTGTTTATCCCGTCTGGGGACTTTTATTATCTCTGAAGGTGGTCTGTCAGCCTTCCCTTTTAAGCAGACCATTGTAAACCTCTTGCAGATATTACTTTTTATTGCACCCAATTTATTTTGAAATAAACAAAACATTGCTTGTTGAGATATTAATTTTGCTTGAAAAATGCAAATTTTTCTCTATAGAATAAGAATAAATGAAATATTTGACAGGGTTTGACAAAATAAATTAAAATTCCATTTTATTTGAAGTTGAAAACGTAATGGACTTGTTCGTAAAGATTAAAGCTTATTTTACAAATGTATGCCTTTATCAACTTTCAAAGTTTCCAGTTTTAAATTGGTGTTCAGAGCAATATCGCCTCGAAGTTAATAACTCCGTCATTTTTTGTCTAATTGTAAAACCATTTTATAAGGAAAAACTTTTGACTCACTACATATAAATATCTATCAAGACCTCAACAGTACAAGTATATTTTTTTCGTTGGGCCAGTGCCCTTTTTTAAGTTTCTGTATTCTGATTATTCTGAAAATTGTCGGATAACAATAAAAAATGTTAGAAAATTATATTAATTCCATCTTATTTAGGACTAGTTTAAAAAAATATTTGTCAAATTCGCCCTGTATATTACATTTTAAATGGGTAAAATTAATGTGTTTCAAATCACAAAATGTGGAATTTTTCTGACATTTTTATTTACTGACGAGCAGAAACGTTTCCAATCTTTTAGTTATTTGCATGACGGTAAAATTGGTGGATTTTTTCTGGAAACGAGCCGCGCTGCGTGACAATCCGAGATGAGGGAATTTCCCAGGTGGAAAGAAAATTGGTCTTTCTCGACGTCGCATCGATTCGGTGGAAAATTGCACTCGCAACTCGGCGCGCCGCCGCGATTTTCTTTTTTATATCTTGCACTCTCTCTGGGGGATAAAACGCGGCGGCGGCGGCATAAAATTCCTATCCGACTCATGAATGCTGCAACAAGTGCCTCTCTTTGGTCCGTCCGCCGTGGCCTGATTGTTTCAAAGGGGAAAAAGACAAATTTCCTCCTCTGCGCGCGCGAGTGAATGAAGGGCGGCCCTCGCCAGCACTTTCCACGAGTTAGAGCTTTTCCCTGTCCCGCCACCCACATCTTCTGCTCCACTAAACTAAAAGTGCCGCTGAGAGCCGCGTATTAAGGGTCGGCTGCTGCATAAGTTGATAGTCGTGTGTAAAGGCGAGAGAGCCTTTTCGCCCTGTGAAAAATCGAAGTAAACGCCAACGGGCTTTTTAACCCAAACATTAGCCGCAAGTAAGAGGGTTGATAAAATAAATTGTGCCAAACTCGCAATAATGCATGAAACATGTCTCTTGGGTCTGTTAAACATTGGAATAAAAAATTTCTTATTTCTTGCGACTTAGCGGTTTTATAGCCATGGAAAGTTGTGTGCTTCCACTTAAAATGGAATTCTAAAGCTGAGGAATAAAATATAAAATCCAATGCTTAGAAAACAAATGTTAATTCCATTTTTTTTTTTTTTTGAATTTTTTCTATTTAAGTAAAAAAACAGTAAAAATGAAACATTTTCTCTTCCAAGAATTAACATTTTTAATTAAACCTGTTTAGATTATCTAAAGGATATATTATATTTTTTTAAATAATTTTTTATTGTTAGATTTCTTAAGTAGTTTGATTAATTCTTCTGACATGTCTAAAAAAAAATAATGCTGACAAATAAACAGATTAAATTTCCAAGAGTGCTTTCCTGGAAACTCTCAAAATCATCTTAAGAGTGGCATTTTTGAACGCATGCAAATCCAAGGAAAACCCGATTTTGAATTCAGATCACCTTGAATCAACTCTCGATCAAATTCCTACGAAAAAATAAAGACGCAAGTTTTAATTTCAGGGTGTTGATGAAATTTCGTGTTTTTTTTTTCAGCCTACAAAATACTTGTCCTTAATATTTTTCATTAATTTTATTCTCTTCTTGTTGCCAATAAATAATCGTAATCAAAGGAAACGACCACCGTTAATTTCTTGCCTCGAAACCTTTCCAAACAATTCTCAATTTTAATTGGGCAACACCTGCGAGGGTGCTTGACGAGATTCAAAATAGTGACAAGAACCAATTAATTCTGTTCCCGTGAGGGAGAAGAGAAAAATGTCACATCGCGCCAATATTCACGCGCTGGGATATAATCAAATTTCTCGCGACGGATGGGTGATATAAGTTGATTACACGGCGTTGCCATAGCAGCAGCCAGCAGCCTCCAACCAGAGACACACACTTGTTGTTTTCTCCGAGGGCGCCGGGGTGGAAACGCGTCACGGGGTGTTGGACACGATTCCTGCCAAGAAAGTGGCTTCGTCGTTCCAACTCCTTACACGCCGGATCTGGAGCAATTTCCGCGCACTTTTGCCTCTTCCCGAGCTTAATTGGAGCTCTCTGTGCTTTGGCCTTTTGTGCGGCGATTGAACTTTCGACGGCAGTCTGCACTAGTTGTTTGCAAACGATTTTTATTTTGAAAGGGGAAGAAAATAATAAAAATTGTTAAAAATCATGAAAAGATTGATTATAATATTGAGCGTCTGGCCAATGTTTAATGTGGAGCCTGCTAAACAAGCTTTAATTATATTAAGAAAAAAAAACGACGCTAGATATTATTATTTTAGAATTAAATTTTTTTCTTCTTTTAAATATCAATTCAATAATTAGGGTTGTCTTAAATTATTTTTAATTTAAAAAAAAATTTTAACCATCAATTTATATAAATTTCTCTTCCTTTTTACTTTTATTTTTATCGTTTCCAAGTTTGTCATTTTTATTTATTCTATATATTTTGATTTTTGCTTGTAATAGTATGTCTGCTGATTGTATTTAAAAGATCATCATCCAAGTGTCTATTAATAAGTTACTTAGATTTTACATGAACTAATAGCAATTTATTCAACATCTCAAATCAATTTCTTCATTGGCTGGCTATATGGTGAGAATATATCATGAAGCAAAGAAGTTAAAAAGTCTGGCATATAACCAAAGCAAGTTTCTCTCAAGCCGCACACCATCTTAAAAGAAGTCATATACTATAAATCCAATCACCACATTATTAAAATATACATTTCTAACCAGGAAGGGCTTATTTTGAAAAGTTTAATTTTATCTCATGTGCACAGCAAACCGCTTTCTCCCCGGCGAAAGAGCACATAAGTTTATTCACGAGTGCCGTTTTTAATTCTACTCTAATTAAAAGTGACATTCTTGTCCCCAGAGGTGCTGAACGACGCCGTCTTCGATGAGGACCACGACGAGATGGTGGTGGTGAAAGACATCGAGATGTTCTCCATGTGCGAGCACCACCTGGTGCCCTTTTACGGCAAGGTGTCGATCGGCTATTTGCCCAAGAAGAAGATCCTCGGACTCAGCAAGTTGGCGCGCATCGTCGAGATCTTCAGCCGTCGGTTGCAGGTGCAGGAGCGGCTGACCAAGCAGATCGCCATCGCGGTCACCAAGGCCGTGGACCCCGCTGGGGTGGCCGTCGTTGTCGAAGGAGTGTACGTATTTTTTTTTTTAATCCTCTCGTTCTTATTTCAATAAATTATTAATTCACAATTGTCAATCTGATATGAGCTTTTGCGGTTTGTGGGAAATACTTTTTAATTGTACACTCGGTCGGTCAGACACGAGATGGAATGAAACAGACGGACGGAGAAAACCAGTTTGAACTACCTGCTTGAGAGCTTTCTTCTTCTTCTCTCGGCATTTACATTTTTATGGGCTTTTCCTCTTACGCGCGCGTTGGTTTTCACGTGATTTTTCGCCGGTAGACGCTCCAGCCACTTGATATATCAATTTCTGCACCTTTTTATCCCAATCGTCGTGGGAATAAATCCAAGCAAGTCGATGACGCCCAACTTATGTAACAAAATGTTACGTAATATAATAGCAAATATTTATTTCTAGTAAAAAATACGCGAAAATTATTTCTGACTCGAAACTTTTTTTTAAACTATTATTTTACATCGCTTGAAATAATATTTACATAAAAAACTTCTCATTCTAAATTTTTCTACATAAATTTTGGTGGACTAAAGCAAAACAATTTTCATTTTTGGAAATGACAATTTAATTTAAAATTCCTTTGCGTTTTAAAATAAAAATAAACTATTTTGGAAACTTTTCCAATTTAATTTGTGTACATTAAATGTCTGTTGCTTTTCTAGATCATTTCTTCTCTTAAGTTAGTACAAAGAAAAAATACCTAACTAATTAAAAAGAATCTCTGCAAGTATGAGAATTTACCTTCTTTTTTTTTGTAAAATGCAGAACTAAAAATTCTTGTTTGCACTTGTTTCTTTACTTCGTTCTAAAAGGATTAAAAAGGAGTTAAGAAAGGGGTCGCAAACATATGGAATATGATCTGCTGAGCAAATAACACAAAAGCTCTAAAGCATAGAGTGCTGAACGAACAGTCAGTAAATATTGATATTCGCTTGCAGGCATATGTGCATGGTGATGCGTGGAGTGCAGAAGATCAACAGCAAGACGGTGACCAGCACCATGCTCGGCGTCTTCAGAGATGACCCCAAAACGCGCGAGGAGTTCCTCAACCTCGTCCACTCCAAGTAGAAGTTCCGCGCCCTCGTCGCAGCAAGACACATTCCTCTCTCTGCTTTGAATTTAACGTTTTTCATCTCTGACAAATCAAAGAACCACTTTTTGGCATCCAGCATCTCTCTATATTTGTTTTCCAGCCATGCATATATACTATATACTTTTTTGAGGGACCAAGTTCAGATTTTTTCAGAGAGCAGATACATTGAAAGGGTAACGAGATCTGTTTGATGTGGCTGAATCAAAACATTCCAATGCAACGACAATTAGTATGGATAATGATAATCTTTTATTTTTCACTTTGCAACGCATTCAAGAAAGCCATTTTTTTCTTTTATTTTAAGAATGTATGACTAACTTAAAACATGTAAAACCGCCGATGATATTTATTTCTAATTCTCATTGATGAGATTATAAAAAAAAGCAAAAAATGACGTTGAATATTTATAAATATATACATTTTCAATGATGGCCGGAACCATCATTGACATCATATTTTATGAGAAATGTTTACTTTCAGACTTTTTATTATTTAATAGAAAACTCGAGACACATGGCTATAAAACAAGAGGCAACCTAGAATTGTCCGCCTGCAAACCTGGAGCTTGCCAATCGTATGTTATTGATTGGAAATTACAGCATGACAATAAAAACGAACAATATAAGTCTATAGAATTATTTTATTTTAAAGGCAACCCGAGTGCAATTAAAAATTATAAATCACAAAATTTCGGTCACATTTGAAGAGAATAATATACTCCTAGATTTACTTTTGAGTAAAAAATGACTGAATACTTCTAGTTTTTTTGGAGTTGGTATTTTCATTATTTGACTTTGTGTACTTTCTTTTCTTGTTTACATTTACTGCTACCACCGAAGATGAAGGTTGCGCTGTGTGAACGGCTGAGGCTTGATTAAGTTGCTTGTGCAGTTCTTGTGCTATGTGGTGGTCTAAGTGTTCGCTCATTTTTAGAAGGGTAACAGCTGCCCCACACTGCGGACACGACGCTTCTGAACTTGCATCTTGTGACGACACATATGAATTGATTTCTTCCTCATCGGCAATTTCTGGGTCTTCGTCAACTGCTTCAATTTTTTCAGTCTTTTGTTCAGGCTTCACTTTCTCTGGGGGTTTGCTTTGGTCCTTATTTTTGGCATATTGAAGAAAAAATGACGAAATTTTCCCCTTCTTTTCTTCCAACTTCTGCGATGGTTCTCCGATTTTCTGCCTTTCAGCAGGTTCATGAGGTCTGTTCATAGGTATATCCTTTGACGATGCTTTGAAAAATTTGGCAATTGAATTGGCTTTGTTTGGTTCTTCAGTGAATCTTCCAACATTTATGCCCAAAAATTGACATGGAACTTTCCTGTACAAAATTTAATTAATTTTAATGAATATTATTAAATTGAGCTTCTTACAAATTATTATTATCCATTGCAATTGATTTGCTGAGGAGCATCATGGCGTCCTTTGCTATAGACTCCTGATCATAGTGTGACAAAAATCCGGTCTTTGAGTTGCTGGCTCCAATTTCAGCACTCCATTGGACAACCAAATTTCTTGGCCTTCGACAGTTCTAAATTGCATAAATTAAATTACACAAAATAAACAAGTTTTTTGCCAAACCTCTTCATTATCTTTTTCAAGTCGCAGAGACACTTCACTGGCAAGCTCATTGACCCAGTGCTCGATTTCTTGCTTCGTCTTTAAGGAGGTTTTCCCCGGAAATCGTTTGCAGCACCCAATGGACTTGGGAATGAGCCTGGACTCAACCTGCTCATGGTCGATACCTCTTGCAATGTTGTACAACCACTGTCCATTTTTTTGTTCAAACTTCTGGCACAATTCAGCCTCAGAGAATTTTTCCAACTCGCACATATAAGTGATTCCGAGTTTTTCAACCAAAACGTCCCCAAGTTTTCCTCCGAGATGGCGAACCTTTTTCACGGGAAGAGTTTCGTACAGGAAGGCAATTCTGGATATGGGCAGAACGGTCTGCTGGTTGGGCTTGTGCAGGCCGCAAATCAATTTACTCAATATCTAAAAGAATAGAGCTTTATCAGAAATTTAAAATTATTGATTTTATTATTTTACCTTATTATGAGCAATTCCAGCAGAGCAAGTGAACCCGGTTTGACTCAAAATCGCTGCTCGCATTTCTTCAAGCATTTTGGAAGCAACAACTAGTCTTTTGTCGTGCTCATTATTTGAAGATGAAGCCGCGCTGAGCCATTCTTTGACAGATTCCGTCCTTCCTTGCTCTTTGTCTTCTGTAAATAATTTTTTGTATTAAAAAAAAATACAATTTAAATTAGGTTATTAAATTTTGTTTTAAAAATACTATTTTTGGATACAAGTTTTAATCTAGTTAAATTAGCTTTATTTAATTTTATTGAAAAAATGTTTCTCACAAATAAGGGCAAAACAAAAAGCAGCTCAATTTTACCTAATTTTGATTCAAAACCAACAACATGAGTTGACATCAAATGCTCCACAGAAACCTGAGTGTTTCCATTCATTCTCTTGTCCACTGCTTCAGTCAAATCCAGAAACGCTTCGTCCACACTAGCTCTCTGGACAGCACTGCTGAACTGGCATATCACATTGATCACTTCTTTCCCAGCATCACGATATCTAAAACAAAATATTTAAATTGTACAACGCTAAGAATATTTTAGTATTACTTAGAAATGTCAGCCTTTTCATTAATAGACGGAACGTGAACAAGATTAATATCTGGACACTTTGCTTTAGCCTCGTCGCCTCTCATTGACCTGGTCACTCCGCAAGCTCGTGCTTCATAATTAACAGCAATTATTCTGAAAAATTAAAATAAGAAATTAAAAATAATTATAATACATACATAATTATATAAATCTCGTTTTTAATTCATAAAAAAAATTAGTTAAAATTGCTCAATTACCCTCCGCCTCTCCACTTATTGTACTGGACAACAGCTAAAGGTTTGCCCTTTAGCTCAGGGTTGATCCTTGTCTCAACCTGACAGTAAAAGCAGTCCATGTCAATCAGGGCCACAATTCTTTCTCTCATATTGCTAGACATTTTGGTAAACCTAGCCCCTAGAAAATAAAATCTTTAGAGAATCAGTTTAACATAATTTATTTTGCTGCTTTTGTGTACTTGCGAAATGTTGTCGTTTGACTTGACAGATGTTCGAGCAGTTCGAGTTCGCGACTTCGCGGTTCGCCGCCAAGGAGGTTTTTGCTCGAGAATTTGTTGCCCCTTTACTGCTGCGCCGCTCTCACGCCCTTTTCCCTTCCATGAAAAGCTCTATAGTTATTTTTTACTCCGTCTCTGGTGCCCAGTTTCCACTTCCAGCACGCTCGAGTGTCCACTCGAGAGGTCCTCGACTTCAAGAAACTCGTTCGATAGCCCGAGGGTGGTGCAGGGCGTTTCAACCCTGACGCTAACTCGGCCTTGCTCCCTCGGACGGTGGTGAGCTGCGAGATTGACAGGTGTGTGTTTACATTTACGCGCTGGGGTTTCTCGCAAGCATTTCTTGTGCAATTCCTTACATTTCTTCAGCGTGAGCTACTAAGAAACGAGCGAATTTCGCAGGACGAAGCGGTTTTCCCGTGGACGAGCAGAAATTTCCGGACCGACACGCGGCCGGACGATGTCACTGTGAAGACGTACGTGCGACGACTCGTCGGACACTTTGCGATGTGAATTTCGGCATAAACTTCCTTCAGGACGTACAAATCTAGCGCGATGGCTCACGGTGGAGGCGCGAGCAGCGTCCTGTCGTCGGACATCAGCCGCAGAAACCCACAGGACGAATACGAACTCATCCAACGAATCGGCAGTGGCACGTACGGAGACGTCTACAAGGTACGCACAAATTTTCACCTTTTATCCATGCGTCTAATGCTTAATTTATATTTATTTCAGGCCAAGCGAATCAATACTAATGAATTTGCTGCAATCAAAGTAATCAAACTGGAGCCCGGTGACGACTTCGGTATTATACAACAGGAGATCCTGATGATGAAGGACTGCAGACACCCAAACGTAATTGCCTACTATGGCAGCTACCTGCGCAAAGACAAACTGTGGATCTGCATGGAGTATTGCGGTGGAGGATCTTTGCAGGACATTTATCACAGTAAGTATATTTTCTGAATTAAAATTTATTTCCAGTCCAAGATTTTTTTCTAATTAACCGGGCATTACATCATGTTGGTCTTTATTGTCTTTAAAGTTGATTAAATTTAATGAAAAAAAATAATACAGCACAATATCTTATAATAATACTGATTTTAGGATTAATACTATGATATTATCAATTATTGCAGGATCTTTCAATTTTTCTTAATTACACAATTGCTAATTTTAGTTACTGGTCCCTTGAGTGAATCGCAAATTGCCTACATGTGCAAAGAGACACTGCATGGTCTGTCGTACTTGCACGCCATGTGCAAAATGCACCGGGACATCAAGGGCGCCAACATCCTGCTAACTGAGGCGGGCGACGTCAAGCTGGCGGACTTTGGCGTCTCAGCCCAAATCACGGCCACCATCAACAAGCGAAAGTCTTTCATTGGCACGCCGTACTGGATGGCGCCTGAGGTGGCGGCTGTTGAGCGCAAAGGCGGCTACAACCACCTGTGCGACATTTGGGCCGTCGGCATCACGGCCATCGAGTTGGCCGAGCTGCAGCCGCCCATGTTTGACCTGCACCCAATGCGCGCCCTTTTCCTCATGTCCAAGAGTGGCTTCAAACCGCCCACGCTCAAGGACAAGGACAAGTGGAGTCCCACTTTCCACAATTTTGTTAAGACAGCACTGACTAAGAATCCAAAGAAAAGACCGACGGCTGAACGCCTTTTATTGGTATGTCAAGTTTGCACACTTATGTAACCCTGTATTGATTTTGCTGTTTTGGCGCAGCATGCATTTTTTAGCGGAGATTTAACTAAGCGACTGGCTCTTGAGCTTTTGCAGAGGGTCAGCAACCCACCTCACATGTTCTCAGAACTGGATTTAGACGAAGAAGGGGTCAGAATATTTTTTCCTTTGATTTGAAAGTGTTTATAGCTTTTTTGTGTAGGCTGTGTCATCAAATGTACCACAAAGAATATCATCAAGAACAACCGTTACAGTACAACAAAGAAACATAGAGCAAGGCAGTAAGTCCCTATACAATTGTTTCTTTTCCAAAAAATTTTATATTAGAATTGCAATTAATATTTTTGAACGTGTTAAGTATTAGAAATCGTTTTGTTGTTGTTATGTTTATGTTATTATTAACAAAAGCAATCAAATAATAATAATTATTACCAAATAAAGTTTATTAAAAAATTATTTAACTAAGGAATTTTTCAAGGTGTTGCTGACCAAATCCACGGACTGATCACGCCATCCCCGCCGCCACCTCTTCCGACAACTGCTCCCCCTGTTTTGCATCCGTCAGAAGTTTCGCGGCCGTGGGACATTCTGAACATCAGCAGTCCTCCTGTGAGCCACACCCATTGCGAGGCACACAACGACTGGCTCCGGACTAGCATTCTTGACGAGCACAATGAAAAGTGAGCCCCCAGCCACAGAGGAACCTTGTTTCGTTCGCTTCTGTCGCCTTTTTTCAATAACAAACTGTGCTTAAGCTTCTGTCTTATTAAATCTCTCTTTCAGGAGCTTGCTCCAGTATATTGACGAGGAGCTGGTCTTGAGGTAATTACCTTTCCATGTGCTTTTTAGTTGCACTGTTTTATTTTGGAGTAAGAAGCTCTTAATTCTAATATCGATTAGCAATCTAAATTTAGTCCGTCTTCTAACTGTCATTGGGTTTTAATAATTGCCAAGTTTTGCACTGATTTTGCCACTGAATTGCATTATTTTTTGAGAGCGTTGACGAATTGAGTTTTGTCTGTCTCCTTTAGGGGAAGCACGGCCACCTTGCAGGCTGGCAGATATTCTCAGCAGTAAGTTGGAATTTCACCATTTGCTGTGTTGTTGTCAAGTTTTGCACGTCTTTTCACATACTAATCTAACACTAGCTGCCTTTTAGTTGGTTTTCAAAATTAATCACGTTTCAGTTGCTTCGTTCTTCCAAAATAATCAGAAGATAATGCTCGTAAAAAAAGAAGAGAAAATAATGTTTTTATTTTATCTAAATTATCCAAAACTTTTTTATAAACAGAGACTCGTTATTAGTCACCAAGTGTCTAACGCTTTGCATGTCAAAATGACTTTTTACTGTGAAATTTTAACACCCGCTGACATTTCCAGCGCAACATTGCTGGCCGGGGAGCCTTGTGATTCAACTAGTCAAGCAGAAAAGACCTCAAGTGGTAAGTAGTATGTCAACAAAAAGCAGACAAATATTTAAAGATAGCAAGCTGTCACTTTTGTAATGTTTATAGCTTTTACAAGTGTTTGTTTCTTCTTTATAGTAAACAATTTTTGATTTATTTGTACAGAAAAAGAGAGATTTTATTAATTTAAAAGCAATCGTCACAATTTGAAAAAAAAAATATACTTTTTAATTTAAACTTATTAACTGATTGTTCTTCAGGTTCAGCAAATAATCGAAGACACAGTGCGTGTGGTGGTGACCTCGAAGATGAGGGCCACTTGGACCCACACGCCTTACCAGGGTACGGTCATCAAGGGCCGCGGCAACGCTCGATGAGTGACAGCTTTGGCACCCCCAACAATGGAGACCTCAATGGCTCCTGCCGCGACTTAGAAAATGAGGGAGGCGACATTCTGCCCAACACTCCTCCCATTCCACCAACAAGGAGGAATCGGCGTCGACACACCCCACCCAGAACAGTCACCAACGGACTTCCACCTACGCCCAAAGTCCACATGGGCGCCTGTTTCTCAAAAGTAACTTTGAAAATTATGAAAATCGACAACTAAAACATCACTTGGTTTAGGTGTTCAATGGTTGTCCTCTGCATGTCCACTGCTCGGCCAGCTGGATCCACCCTGAGACAAGGGACCAGCACATCCTGATGGGGGCTGATGAGGGCATCTACATTTTGAATTTGACTGAGCTGCATGACGCTGCCATCGATCAGATTTATCCCAGGCGGACAATCTGGTTGCATGTCATCAAAGACGTTCTCATGTCGCTTTCAGGTATGAAATTTATCATTTTAAAGTTACAACTTTTTTATAAAAAGTAAATTTCTTTTGATAAAATATTCTTTTAACTAGCAATTTGTTTCAAATTGTATTTCTTGTAGTTGAAGTTAATTTGAATTTTTTTTTACTTAAACACAGGCAAAACACCTCAACTGTATAGACACGACCTTTTGTCCCTTACTTCAAAGCAGTCGCGTCGCTTCTCCCTGACGCGCATCCCAGAGCGGCTGGTGCCGCGCAAATTCGCGCTCACCACCAAAGTGCCTGACACGCGTGGTTGCATGCGCTGCTGCGTCGGCCGCAACCCCTACAATGGCTACAAGTACTTGTGTGGCGCTGTCCCTTCCTCCGGCATCTTCCTTATGCAGTGGTACGATCCACTGAATAAATTTATGTTGTTGAAGGTAAGCCTTTGTATTAAGATAATAAATTTGGAAAAAAAAATTCTGTTATCTGACCAGCATTTCGAGTGCAACCTGCCGTCGCCACTCAATGTTTTTGAAATGATCATCACACCTGAACTTGAATACCCAATGGTGTGTGTCAATGTTAAGCAGACTTACAATTCTGATGGGCTCAAGCTGGACTTGATAAATATGAACACAGGTGCCAGTTGGTTCCATTCCGACGAGATGGAGGATATGGACGGCACAGGTATTTTTGTAAATTTTAAACGTAAAACATATAAATATAAATTAATCCATTCAGCAACCGTGATTCCCCGCCGAGAAAATCTTCATGTTGTTGGTGTCCACCAGATGGACGGTGATGCTATAGTTGTTTGTTACGAAGGTACTAATTTATTATTTGGTTGCCTTTGGGTATTTTATTCTTAATTTATTTTTCACAGGCAAAGTTAAAGTTGTGACTCCTCAAGGGAAACTCCGTGTGAGCAAGAAACTTGTTTCTGAGCTCAATTTCAATTTTAAAATTGACTCCATAGGTACATTTTATAAATAAAATTAAACTTAAAAAATTTATATTATAATCTTGTTTCTATAGTCTGCTTGCCGGATAGCATTCTGGCGTTTCACAAGCATGGCATGACGGGTCGAAGCTTCAAAAATGGAGATATTACCCAGGAAATTGTTGACCAGAGTCGGAATTACCGGCTGCTGGGGTCTGACAAGTAATCTAATTTTTGTACTTAAACTCAATGGAATAATAACTTAATTTAAATTCAGGGTTGTTGTACTGGAGAGCCAAAGAGTTCAACCATTGACGAGAGAGGGAACTTTGACTGATGAAGGCAAAGACCTGCACATGCTGGCCGGCCATGAGGCCAGTTATTGAATGCAGGACACCGTATCAAGGTCTTTGATGAAGAAATTTGCCAAGAAATGTGATGAACTTGTCGGACGACATGCTGTTTAATTATTTGACGGCTCATGCTGATTTTCACGCCAAAGGGCTGACGACCAGTTGCAGCCATTTTACCTTTTCACACACACTAATTTTCTCTTTTATTGTACATTTTTTTTTGCACAATTCATGCTCAATACTAAATCTACCTAGTGCCAAGTATCCTCCTCATTTCACATTGACTCGTCTTTTTGAAATAATTCCAGTCGACTTTGCGCCCCATAATCAACCATCTGCTGGCCATTTAGACACCCAGCAGACACCCACTGCTCAACATAAAAATAATTCATGTTGCATTTCGTTTGTTTTTCTGTATCTGCATGTTTCGAGGTAATATTCCCCTTGAGTAATGTTGAACCCGCATGATATTGTAAATAATATTGTTCTTGCTAAATTATTAGACTTTATGAGAAAAATCAACAAAATATTATTATAAAAAAGTATATATCACACTAGCATTAAGACAAAAAAGGATTTTAAAAGAGCATTACAAGCATAAAAATATGATCACTGTTAGCACTACAGCCCATTTCAATGTGTAATAATTCATCCTTGACAGGAAACAAAGTGGATTTCTTACCTGGAGATGCTTTCCCCAGTTATATCATTCCCGTTGTTTAAGACTTAAATGGTCAAAATTAATACAAGTACTTCAATTCCTGATATATTACTTGATGCAGGTGGAGAGATAACCAACAGGCTTTAATTGGATTTTGTCAATTCTTGCCGGCACACGAGTTCCTTTTCCTGATTTTGTGTGAAAAACAATATTATAATTAGATCCGATTGAAGTGGCATTTATTAATCATGTAAGACTTCACACAACAAAATATTATTTTATTCTCGTTTGGTGCTTAAATCTTGCATCAGTCGACTAATAAATTTTTATTAGGCCTGTTGTGTTGTACATCTCCGACCGGTTTGATCTATCTCGAGTAGCACATCATTGCAGTATCCTTGCATATCTAGTCTAGCTGTTTTAAGTCCTGATCATGTCTAATAAAACTACATGAATGAGCTGGTACGGGTCGCTTTCTTTCATTTCATCATCTCATCACGCCTTTAGTTGTTTTAGTTAACAAATTATCTTTATTGACTGAAGAGCATAAATTTATCAACAGATGATATCATAAGGAGATTTACAAAAGACAAGAATGGTTCGTTTTTCACTATGTAATATTACGAAGTATTCGCCACTGGCAATTCCGCTGCCGGCGGCATGTCGCCGTAACAGTGTTTGGCCCGCGGATCACGGTACGAGTTTTCGTGCTGCACACTTTGCGAACTGGTGCGGCACTTTGCGAGGCACAACTCAAAGTGGTCCGACACTGACGCGAACAGGACGTTCATAGTCTCCGATGCTTTCCCCAGCACCGACTGAAGTACATTTTTCTGCAACAAAAACACCAATGTTAACCATCATTATTAAATAACATTAAATTTTGAAAATTGTTAAGAATTAAAAATATCTTTTAACTATAAACAATTTTTTTTAACTCGGGCACTCTTACTTTGTCTGGGTGGAGACAACAAGAAATGCAATGTTCGTAGATGCTGCAGCAGTGGTTATCCTTGCACGTTTCACATGAGTATCTTTTAGTCGTATCTAAAAGTGTATCACAGCAGCCAGAAGGTAAAATGTTCCCTCGCAAACAAATGTAGCCTAAAAAATAAAGCGATTTCGTTCTTTCAAAACTCAATGTCATATAATTTTTTTTACCTCGATCATCGACAATTAAAACTTTTCCTTGCACAGAGTTCCTGCAAGTGGTGACCTTTAAACTTGTCGAATTCACCTCTTCACCACCTGAAGAGTGCCAAACAAAGGGCTGACTTCGTGTCCTGACCATTGAATCAGGATCGTCCACCAAATTGCTTCCCTATAAAATCCAAATGTAATTGACAAAATATTAAATTATTTATTTTATTTTCCAGATAAAGTTTCAACTAATTTTAATTGTGATGTGTCATTTTTCACTTATTTTTGCTTTATTTTCATTAAATATTTTTAATTTTAAAATTAAAATCGTAGATTTGATAATATTTTTGTACTTTTTAGTTTACTTAAAAAAATTACCTGGCTGACAAAGCTAAAAATGCAGTAGGTGAGGGACAAGCCAAAAATCACACCGAGAACCAACTTTCTGCGGAAAAATCGCACAATGTACGACCTCCACATTCCAAACGAGTTGTTTATTTCAATCATTTTTCAAGTGTTTGGGCTGATTTTATCCTCAAATTATTCTTCTTCTGCGAATGGCGGCGAGGGTATTCGTTTCAGGCGGCGCATTTTCCAGCCTGAAAGCAACACACAAGGGAAAAATTAATTTTCCAGCTACCCAACCCAAACAAACACCCATTACCCATTCGAAATTAATGAAAAAATTAAAATCAAAGACAAATTTCTTCCCGAACGAGGCTGGCTTTTAATTTGATGTATTTGATTTTAAATTAAATATTGATTTTTCATACCTAGCTGGTCAAGGCGACGGTAAAACTTTAAGAAATCTGTCTTGCTAAGTTAATTATTTATATGTTTACATTCGAATTCAAGCATGAAATGCGCAGACAGAGGAGTTTTTGTGTCGAGGGGTCGGTGCTCGAGCCTCCTTGGCGCCTGCAAGCTTCGCAACTCGGCAACCCGCCGCACAGAGCGCTGCCTTCGTGCCTGGGCAGCCCGAGTTCGGCGATCGGCAAAATCCTGCTGGTTCCGCCCTTGGCCCTTGGCTGCATAGCGCAAAATGAGTGTTGTTGTGGTCTGGTGAAGGGTCGAAACGACCGTCGGACGTCGCCTGCACGCCCGGGAGTCGCCGCGAGATGGACTTGCACGCCGGAATCCGACCCAATCGTCTGCAAAACAGCCTCTGAAGGAGCAGCAGCTCAGACAGTCCGGAGGCGGAGGTGAGGGATGATAAATCTCGGGGAGCGTGCATGTGTTTTGCAACGCGGGTTGACAAGTTTGTGGCATTCGGATGGCCTTTGTGAGCAAATATTCTTTCTAGACGTTTTCGACCAAAAACAAATTTAGCACGGTTCTGGAGAAAGAAGAGATTATATGAATAAAGCAAAATTCCCTTCTTTGTTTTTGTTCTTAAATTGGATGATGGTGGCTCTTTATTTTTGCTTCAATTTTTAGGTTATTTTTCTAAAAAAAGATCTAGAAAATAAAAAGTTTTAAAGGGAAATCTCATTCTTATTTTTTTTTCTTCGTAAATACAATTTAAAATAAAATAATTTTTATTATACTCTAAAAACTATTGAAAATATTTAAAACACAATTTTTAAAACATTCTTTATCAAATTTTACTTGTGTAACTAATCGAATTTATATTTTATTGTAATCCAACCTAATTTTAATTGCAATTTAGTTAAAAATTGCCAACTACATATTTTTTTGTGGTTTCCTGGTTTTTACTGTAAAAGCAAAAAAATCAGCTTTATATTGTATCGATTTTTCATAGCAGCTGCATTGCAATTTCCTTGAATTATAATTTATTTAGTCATGCCGCACAGTCTTATCATATACCTCAAGGCCAAATTGTACTCCCATATGATTAACAGATCCAGTTCATTGATTTTTTTAAAACCTTCCTATTTCTTCGGCTCTGTTATCTATGAAGTGGATTCAAACTATTTATCTCTCTCCAATTTGAGGGAACTCTAAACTGTGACATTTTAACTTTTATTAGAATAGTTTTATCTTTTGACAACAAATATTTTGCTACATTTTTTTTCATGAACATTTCTAGTCATGACTAGAGTAGAATAAACAACAATAATTATACATTTTGTTGATCGTTTCCAGCTAGAAATAAATTACAAATAGAAATAAATTATCAAAATATTTCTAAATTGCATAATCTTGCACTTAATTAATTATATATTTTCAATAAAATAATTTAAATTATACTGTAATAACGACTTTTTAAATTATTATTATTTTTGGAAATGTCAATTTCCTTCATTATCAATGGTATTCTTTCAGTTTATTTAAAAAAATGTCAATTTTTGTCTTTATTTTTCAGAATCATTGAAGGAGTTCTCCAAATTAAGTTTAAAAAAAATAGCTAAAAAATGTCGGGGAGCGGCGGAATGGACCGAAAGAACAAAAAGAGTAGCCGGGCGCAAGTGTGGGAGGAGGCGGGTGGCGAGTTTTACCAGGAGAGCTACCCTGGCGCGTCGGCCTCTGCCTCCACGGACAACCCTGACTCGGATGCGGTCGCGCACAGGGACGCGGCGGCCCACCTGGCCACCCTGCTGCCCAGCAAGCAGGCTCAGCACACAATGGGGAAAGGTTTTTTGAGATTTTTTAAAGTAAGAAAGTTGAAAATATTTGAATTGAAAATTTTTTAGCAGCAACTACACGCAGATCTCGTAATGAGGGTAAGCAGTCTACGAGAAAGCGCACAGGAACCAGATCTCGTTTTAATAACACTGTGAGGAGGGAATCTAATATTCACGACATTCACATCTCACTGCCAGACTTTTCTGGTGAGTAATTTTCTATTTTATTTTAATGTTTATTAAAGTTTTTTCAATTCGTGGAACAAATTAATATTTTTTTTTCATTTTTTCACACAAACAAAAAATTTTGTTTTATAATATTTTTAACTTTTTAAAATTTTAGTTGAGAATATTCCAAATGAAGAGCGGACATGGGAGGAAATCATGCAGATCAAAGCTATGCCTGTGAACATGGCACAAAAAAGAGAGCTGAAAGCAAAGTTAAAGGTACGTGTTTGTTTACACCTAATGCGATTTGGGCTGAACAATTTATTTCACTAATTGGATCTTGACTTTTGCAGAGTGCAACTAAGTTGCGACTACAGGGTTTAGAGCAGCTGAAATGGCAGAGGCGAAAGTTTTGGCAACAGTGCAAGAGCAACTGGAAGGAGTTTTACTCCAAGATGGAGCTCTGGCAGGGCAGTCTGAAGACCATCGAGGGCAACTTTGGCATCGGGGTGGTCTCGTACTTCCTTTTTGTCAAATGGCTCATGTTTCTCAACATCATCATCTTTGCCCTGACCTTCTTCCTGATTGTCCTACCGACAATCGTCCTCGAACGCAGCCCCAGCAAAATTTGCAATCCTGACGACAGAAACGGTTCGACAGTCGAGTGCTGCGCCCTGGACTACGACAAGAAAACCTCCTCCAGCATCAACCTCTACGACCTGGTGCAGGGCACCGGGTGGATGGAGAGGACCCTCCTCTTCTACGGCTACTACGCCGACGACATTTACACTTTGGACAAGGAGTACAATCTCTACTATGACCTGCCGTTTGCCTACGTGGTCACGGCCGTCCTATACTTCCTGGTCAGCCTCATCGCCATTGTCAAATCTGCGGCCAGAGGTTTCCGTGAGAGGATAATCGAAGGCGAAGGCCAGTTCTATCAGTACTGCAACCTGGTCTTTGGCGGCTGGGACTTTTGCATCGACAAACCCAAGGGCGCCGAGAACAAGCACAAGGCCATCTTCAACGAGATCAAAGGCTGTCTCGAAACTGAGAAAATCGAGGCCGAGAAGCAGAACCGGTCCAAAAAGGAAAAGTGCCGGCTGCTCTTTTCACGCACCATGGTCAACATTGGCATCATCATTTTGCTGTTGCTGTCCATGCTTACTATTTACTTTGTGTTCACCATGTCGAGAAGCCTGTTGGAAAAACCCATCAGCTCCAAGCAGCACTTCAAGCTCTTCTTCGAGTACATGCCGTCCCTGGTCATTGTCAGCTTGAACTTGTTGCTCCCGCTACTCTTCTCATTTTTGGTCACCTTTGAGCACTACAGTCCCATCGTGGTGGTCCGGATCTCCCTCATGCGCACCATTTTCCTCCGACTCTCCTCGTTGATGGTCCTCGGCGCCTCCATCTACCGTTTGGTCTCTTGCGACGACGACCGTCCAGACAGATGCACCTGCCAAGAGAAAGGACCCCTGTGTTGGGAAACGTACGTCGGACAGCAGTTCTATAAGCTGGCTGTGACCAACGCCCTGACAGGCATTGCGGTCACCTTCTTTGTCAACTTCCCGCGAGCCATGCTGGCCCAGCACTTTGAGAACTACCGATTTTTTAAATTCATCGGGGAACAGCAATTTGAGCTTCCCAATCATGTGCTGGACGTTGTTTACAGTCAGACTCTCTGCTGGATCGGCAGTTTTTACTCGCCGCTACTGCCGGCGTTTGCCACCATCCACTGCTTCCTAACCTTCTACGTCAAGAAATTTGCCTGCCTCATCAATAGCAGGCCACCATCACAGGTAATATTAAAATTCTTGAAAATTACAAAGCGATTAAAAGGATAAATCTTTTTATATCAATATTCTTCGTTTTTAAAAGTTAGTTTTTTATTTTCTTTTAACAAAAATTTTAAATTAAGGACTTTTCACCAATCTATTGATTCAATATTTGGAGCCATGTAATTAAAAAAAATATTCATATAAACTTAATAACCTTTACTTTGACCTTTCGTGTTTCTTCTAAAAAAGTTTTTGTATTGATTGAAGATTGAAATGATATGTTTTAGGTCTACCGCACGTCTCGCTCGAACTACATGTTTATGGCGGTGCTGTTAGTGTCCTTTGTGTCAGCAGCCATAGCTGTGGGCTACTCAATGGCTGAGGTAGTGCCCTCTCGATCGTGTGGCCCTTTCAAGGGCGACGAACCCGTTTGGACCACCGTGTGGACGGCCTTCTACAAACTGCCGTCTTGGATCCAGAATTTCATCTTCTTCCTCGGCACGGCCGGCTTCACACTGCCCACAATTGTGGTCCTGCTGCTAGCCCTGTACTACTACAATGCAGTCACGGCGGCCAACAGACAGATGGTGCTTGTTTTGCGCCGGCAGTTGGTGCTTGAAGGTCACGACAAGCAGTTCCTGCTCAGCCGGCTCAGCACCATCATCAAGCAGCAGCAGCAGGAAAGGCTCAAAAACAACATTACCGCTCCTCCGCCCCCAGAATTTGACACCTTGCTGCCCCCTCCTCCCCCGGAAGTGATTAACAACACTAGTTGAAACTACGGAAAAGCCAAAGATCAATGACTTGTTGAATGGACAATTTTTCGTACCGAGTACGAAGGCACAGTTTACCTAAAAATCATGGCCACATGTTTAGCACATGTTATTCTTGAAAAATTTCTGTAGAGGGTTACGTAGAAGTTAAAAATGATAAAGGCAAAAGGAAATTTGCAATTTCAGTCGCCAACTATTGTGAAAAGCTAAGTTGATTAAATTTTTAATATAAAATGAGCCAAATTGTTCCATTTTAAGAACTCTCTCGTCATTGCAACTAACTAAGGCAAGGAATTTATGTGATCTTTCTGTTCGTCAGTAATTTTAGTGGCTCACATATTTGACCTTTGTATAATCTAGTCGCGCATAAAATTTATCTAATAATTATACAACAATTTTACATTGCTGGAAGATTGATATCATGCAATTCACCAAACAGTGCAATAGTGAGGACTATTATCGATGTTTTATGTTAACTACAGCAGCATCTCTAGGTGATATATTTAAGCCACAACTTTGTAGTCTCGTTGATCGTAGCATACGTAAAGTGCATGATTTTCAATGATTTAACTTGTGTTATTCTTAACTGAATTTTATAAAAATGACATACACATTGAAAAACCGTGTTAAATGGCATATAACGCGACAAAAGGTGTTTTCTTTCATTGTCCATTGCATGTGTTTATCAAGTCGCGCAAATTATCATCTTGTTGTTAAACGCGTAAGTACACTTTGTATACCATCACTCCATCTTCACACCAGATGCCATTGCAACAGCAGTGCTTTGCCATCGTAACTAGTGTCATGTAATTGATGTATCAAAAACGACGTTTCTTTTGATTTTAATAGAAAATCCAATTTGGCATTTTCCTACCAACAAAATATTAAAGGATTTATTACAAAGAGGATATATTTTATTTCAACCAAATCATTTACAATAAATTATAAATGAAAAATTTTATTTTTAAGGATTTAGAACAAGACATAAGATAGAAAATTCATCTTTTTTTTTATTGGCAGAATAAAAATATCAACTCTATATAAGCACATACAATATTATTTCATTACAAAATAATTGAATTGAAAGAACAAAAAAATTATATCATTCAACATATTAAGCCCAAAATTTTAAATTTTTTGAATTTTCCCCATGTAGGTTTACAAGAAATAGGGACAAAGAATAAGTTTTTACTTTCTATAAAAATAAGATCAAATTCATAGATAGACTGTATGGTACAATATTGTGCCCATAATTACCGAAACACAAGACTAGCACAGATTTAGTTTTACTCGTAGTTTCAAGAACACACTTGGAGGTAAGTTGAGAAATTTATATTTTGTAAAAAATCAGTGCAAAAGTATCAGGGGCCATGGTGTAATACTAGATACATACATGCATAAGTTATATGATGACTTGATTGACAAGGAAATCTCACTCGTGTGGATAAATTTTTCATGAAGAGGCAAAAATCACAATTTTCTTAGTGTATACTTGTAAATTTCTCTCCTAACTTGGCAGAACTTTTTTTGGTGTTTAATTTTGTTGTGCCGAGAACGTCGGACTGTGCGTTAAAAGAGCATGCAAAAGAGACAGTAAAATATAATCTTGTGTCAAGTGCAACAAATTACTTCTTCACACCGTTGCTTTCGTTGGTCAAGAAGTTGTGTGGCTTACTGCTGTCTGTGAACAGCAACGACTCGAGGAAGAGGCGCGTGAAGTCGCTCACAATTGAGCGATCGGGCAGGCTGGCTGCGGTGCCATACAGAGCCATCTTGAAAAATATTTTAATATAATTTATTTTTAATTTAAGAACGCTTACCTTTCCCTCCAAGGAAGCAGGAGGGTTCTTCAACAAGTGGGCTACAATTTCCTTAACATCATTAAGAAAACGGTCAGCGACCCCAGGTCGAGTCAGCATGTGTGTGACTCCAATGTGCAATCTGATGATGAAACACTGAAGTTTTACAAATTTCAAACATTTTATATCAAAATTACCCTGGTGGACTTTGCAGCGGGTTCAGATTCCAACCCTTCTTGCCCAGGGCATCTAGCAAGTGGTAGATATGGAAAGTATCGGAGCCAATCGCAACCACTGAAGTGGCTGGCTTCCCAAAAACAAACACTCCTTCCATTTCTCTCACCCTGTAAAAAAAAATTAGCATCAAATTTTTGTAAATAATTTCAGTTTTACTCTTTTTCGATTCTTCTTGCAGTTTCAATAATTTTCTTGGTGGCGTCAATGTATCCTTCCATGCCAAATCTCAGCAATGTAGCCCAACAGGCAGCAATGTTTCCTCCAGCCCGAGAGCCGCTGACAGTCGGCGACCCATAGACGCCGCCAGGCCAGTCAGTTGCGGTGCTGAACTGGGAGTGCAAGTACTTGGACTCGCTGTACATGATCACAGATGAACCTTTGGGTGTGAAGCCATACTGAAAAAAATGTATTTGTTATCTATAGATATTTTGGTAGAAAATTTTGGCTCCCAAATTGAGCTTTTCTTTGAGACTTTTAAGCTACTTCACAATTACATAAATAATTTAAATTATTAACAAACAGATAATAAATCATTTTGATTTAGATGGATTGCTATTACTGCAAGTTAATGAAGATTTTTTAATTTTTTTTTTCTTGGGTTCAAACTAACAATGTGAATATTATCATTACACTGATTTTTCAAAGCAGCTGCAAATCACAACTGTTTTGTTATTTGCACCCGAAATTGATAAAGAATACAAACTCAAGTGTTCAGATATCTTGATTAAAAGTTCATCTTCGGTGCATCTGTGTTCATCGTAATAATAGATAAATGTCAAATTATTGTTAATGTGGATTATAACTTAAAAGATACCAATACAGTAACTTAATTTCACACCTTGTGAGTGTCCGCAGATATACTGGTGACTCCGGGTACAGAAAAGTCAAAGCCGTGTTCCAGAGGATATCCAGCCTTGGCCATAAAGGGCACAAGGAATCCTCCAAGACACGAATCGACGTGGACTGGAATGTTCCTTTTTAGTCCAATGGCAGCAATTTGGGGAATGGGGTCCATTGTCCCGTAAGGATAGTTTGGCGCTGACGCAATGAGCTTTGAAAATTTAAATATTTAAAGAAATTAAAAATTTTCTGATTAAAAACTGACCACAATTGTATTGCTGGTGATGTACTTGGCCATTTTCTTTGGATCGACAATATATGTCTTAGGGTCAACAGGCACAAATCGCAGTCTTATGCCAAAGTACTGAGAAGCTTTGTTGAATGCCGGATGGGCCGTCATTGGGAGCACGGCCTCAGGCTCAGTGATGTCCTTTGTGTCCCGCGCAAAGTCTCTGTAAGCCTTCATGGCCATCAGGATGGACTCCGTTCCACCTGACGTCATCTGCATTAAAAGTTTTAAGAGTTAAAAAAATCATTTTTAAGAAAAAATCCTATCGTACACAACCGCAGGCATTTTTGGTTCCGTTGAAGAGGTTGCAGGATATTTTCACAATTTCTCCTTCCATTTTGCACACTCCAGGGAAGACATCCGGGTGCAATGGGTTGGTGTAAGAGGCGAGTCCGTGCACCCTCGCCACAAGATCACAGAGCGACTTTTCATGATAATAGACAGCACCAGACACATAGCCCGACTCCCAGTCATATTCACCTTTATACGCAAATTTTATTAATTTTGAATTTTAGATATATCGATTAATTTATAACCTAGATCAAGATAGGTTGCAACTTCTTTGGCAATGGCTTCGTCGCTGATGGGTTTTTCCGGGAGTCTGGTTATATAACCTACGCCCTTCATTCGCTTATCCATATCAGTATAGAAACTCTGTTTGATGGTTAAAAGCTCTCCTTCGATCTTATTACCAATGGCAGGTATCCTACGTAACAGCTTGAAGAATTTAACCTTCAGTCGATCATGAATATCTATAAGCAAGAAAATTATATATCATTACAAATTTTGCTTTAAAAATCAAGAACATGAAGAAATTAATTTTTGTATATGTTTTATTTCCAAATATTCTTACTTTCTCTATTTTTAATAGCTTGGACGAGATACACCGCTGTAACGGACACTCCCGTTGTTGCAACGCAAATGTAAAACGCATCTTTTCCTGAGAAGTAATTGTTGACACCCGTCCGCAGGTTACCGATGGATTCCTTCACCAGCGCCAAGTCCATCTTCAGGGTTCACTCAGGTCACGTGTATTGCAAATCTGGAAACTTTGGCACGTTAGTCGGGTTGAGATGTCAACGATAAAATTATCTGGCAAGACGAACATTGAGCGAGCCAGAAAATAATATCGCTAATCTAATTATGTCACGTGACGGTGAGAGATAACTATGCATTTTCAATGTCAACAACAAAATCGACGACGCCTCACTTGTCACGTTATCAGGTGCACTTTAAACCGCGATATATATTTACTAGGCACGACGATTTTCGACCAAGACATGCGCTAATCACACACAGACAGTCTCAGATAAAATTAAAATTATCTATGGAAGACTAAGGTGTCCAGTTTCACGTCTCACGAGTTGCTGTCCCGATGTTGACAACAAGAAGCAAACAAGAAGTCAATAAAAACGACCACGCCTACTTGCCCCGCGACCAATCAGGAAGCGATTTTGCCAAAGAGTTTTGCAAGCAGCTGGAGTTGATGCGAAATACAATATACGGACAAGTTTTGTGCAGTTTGTTTTCGTTCTCCAAGGTTTGTTTTGTGACGGCTATTTACGCCTATTTCCTACTGAAGCCGAGACTGTAAATATCCCGTATTGATTTCCGCGTTAAACGAGGCATTGCCCGCACGATTCTCATTGAAAATCGCAACTGAAAATTGAACTGTGCAAATTATAATTTTCTCGCCGTGATGAAACCACAGCCCATCTCTCGCAGCGTTTGTCTTTCACGCTCGAGAGTGATTTATTTATGTAACCCTTTTCACGATTGAATGATCATCGAAGCAGGAGCCGCCTCTGCATAACCTGTTTGATGCCATTGCACATTTCAATGCACGCTCGAGTGCCTTCCCTCAGTGTCGAGCTGCACCTTCAACAGCACTGACCGAGGCCCTCTCCGTCTCTCTGTTTTAGGAAATGCATCTTAGGGGCACGTAGGAACACCAACGACTCCGATGAAGATGCATTCTAGTCAGCTCGAGGAGGTCGGTTTTGGTTTTAGTTCTTTTGTGGACGTCGAAAACATTCCTAATTTGACCGACACCAATGAAGAAAACACAAACGGCAAGACCTTTGAGGAGGCCAAGGCAGTCCTCGGGTCTAGAAAAATCAGAGAAGTGAGTTTTTTCAAAATTGAAATTGAAATTATTTTTCGAAATACATATTAATTAACATTGAATCTCAGGCCAAATTGATGTTGAGGGAAAATTCGTGGCACTTCACGGACAAGATCCGCTCCCAGTTATGGCCCGCTCTGTGCCAAAGGCTGGGGAAGGAACAACCCAATGACACTTTTTACGGGGACACGGTCATGCTTCTCTTTGGTACCAAAGGTCTGTAAAATAAAATAAATTATAATTTTTAAGCAATTTCTTTGTGATGTTTAATTTTTGTTCATTAATTAAATTTCATTGGACACTTTTTATTTGTACAATTTTCTGCTCAGAATATTCGTCTTGCATTTAATATTTAATCTTTTGAATTTTTCCAGAACTACCCAACAGATCGCTTATTCTGCCACAATTTGTGGAGCCATCTCACTGCCATAATTACTATTTATCCCGGGAAGGCCATATCACTGCAGAAAGAGTAATTTCAGTCTTGGGCTACTCGTGTCCTGACGTGACCTACAGTCCGGTCGCATTTCCTTTGGCTGCTCTATTTTTACATTACATGACAGGCAAGGATTTCACAGCTGACTGCGTGATTAAAATTCTTAAACAAACAATTTATAAATTGTAGAAGATACAGCCTATGCAGCCATGGCAAACGTCTTGTCATGCCGATCGCCAGTTTTCATCACTCAGACCAAGCTGCATAACGAAATCACTTGGCAAACTTGCCTTTTGCTGGCAAAAAAATTCACTGTAAGTAAACGTGTCTCTAAAAATTTAAGCATTACATTTTTTGCATAACTTTAGAAAAACTCCATCATCAGTCTTCAAAAGCAATTTGGTGGAAATCATTCTGAACTGGAACTGTTGTTCAGCGACTGGCTCTGGTGGATATTCAATGGAATCCCTTTCCAGCATTTGGTATGTTAAAATATTTAGTTTTTTTTTCTTCAATTAAATTACTTTTATTTCCAGGTGAGGGTGACAGACTGCTTCCTTATGGAAGGAATCAAAGTCCTCTACAGAGTAGCACTTGCTTTAGCGCAACTCTTTTCTAAATTGGGTAGCAACCCAGGAACTGAATGGGAAGAACAGTTTGTGCACGGAAATTATTCCGGTGCTATGATGACGTTCTGCAGAAATCTGCCTGTATATTATTTATAAATTTATAAATCAAGCTGAAAATTAATTTTTAATTTGTTTTGAAAGGTGACGCCTAGCAAGCTTTTGAAGTTGGCTTTTGGCATTCGCAACTTCAGCTCGGCCTCAATGGCAAAAATGCAGCTCAGGACAGAGCTCATGGTCAAGTCGAGAAACACTGCCTCTGTGACAAGCGGGCCCAACCTTCTAAAGAGGGCCAGATCGTCAGAAAATTTGCCTAGTGTCCAGTCACAGGGAGAAGTGAGAATGGCCTCACACACCCTCACCATTAAGGAGGTCAGGAGACATTTTTATATTTTCTTCATCATTTATTCCGATCTATTGATATTGATAATTAAATTCAAAAATTGTTTATTCATTGCTGCTAACTGTGGATTTACAAATTCAGGGAAATTTGTCCCCTGAGCACAGAACGTCTCAAATGGGAACATATCCCATTCAGGGTTTGCACTCTGTTATTGTGGATATGGACCAGGCAAGTCTGGTTGATCGAGTGTCGTAATTTCAGTTTTGATTTGGTCGATTTATTTATTTTACAACACAGATTTGCATGCACCCACACAAAGACACATCTTTTCTAGTGCTCGTATTTTGTGTCTGTAACTTTTCAATGGGTCAAATTTTCTTGGAGCTGTGTTATTAATTTAAATTTTTACAGCTGTTGACTGTGTGGACTTGGTTACCTATTCGGATCACAATGTACCAGCCTGTTCTATTGTACACAACTGAGGAGCATGGATGCTCTTTGACTACATTCTTTGTCCGAGTCGAGAAACATGAGCCTACAATTTTGATCATCAAAACCTGCAGCGGAGACGTAAGTAGATTATTTCTCACATTGAAAGCAAACTTTGTATTATTCACACAATAATTGGTGGTGTGTATAAATTACACTTTTACTGTGTTTTTTATGAAGTGAAAAAAAGATTGAAAAAATTGATAATTAATAATGAAGTTATTAAATTTATCAAAAATGGAAGTAAATTTTATGAAATAAAATTTTTTGGTTAGTCTTTTACAAATCTATTTTTGCACATCTCATTGTCAGAACATTAAATTGCTTTAGATTTTTGGTGCCTATTGCTCTGCGCGATGGGAAGAGCGAAACTTGAAAGATGACAAGGGCGTCCGACAGGCGTACTTTGGCACCGGTGAAACTTTTGTGTTCACATTGAGTCCGGAGAGGCGTAAATACCAGTGGGTGGGCCTCGACATTGGCAGAAATGATGACTTTGACGAGAATGGCAAGGGTGACATCAAACACTCGTCGGAACTGTTCATGGCAGCGGACAACCACATGATCACCATTGGTGGCGGGTGAGTGATGTGCTCCGTGAAACCGATTGATTATATTTATTATATTTTAAATCTTTTGTGTTTCAAATTTTGCAGTGGTGGCTCGGCAATTTGGATGGACGAAAATATCCGCTTTGGCAAATCAGGGCACTGTGAGACTTTCAACAACCTTCCATTGTGCCCCAAGGGTGACTTTGAGATCCAGGTCCTGGAAGTCTATGGCTTTGTTGGGCTTTAAGTACAAAAACGCATGCTTTGCCAAAAATGCTAAATGTTGTGTGTATACTCACTGTAAAAGGGGGACGTAGCTGCTTATAGCTTAAGATTAGGCCTAACTGTGTATGAAACGTCAGCAAGCAATAACAACAACGTTAAATGAAACATAAATGGATTAATTAACACAAGATTGAAAAAAACATAAACGATTGATCAAACTAGTCGTTGAAGCACCTGATCATTGAATTTTTGCATTCCTTGTTGTGGAGAGAGATTTTTAAGTGTCGATCGATAAAAAGTCTGTCGCCGTCAAACGAATAATATATCACACACTGTCGGTGAAAACAAAAACGTAGTTGTGATGCATTTAAACTAACTTGTTCTAAATGTATATTCTCACGCAAGTGTCAGGGCCTCTTAAAGATGAGCCAGACCAAGCAAGAGAGCTCGGTAGTTTGTAGAGGAAGTTGAGAGAAGAAGAAACAATTAATCACAGCTTGTCTCTCGCTTTTGTCGCGCTGCTCAGCCTCTGAATGTGCTCTCGTGTCACGCATATATACTTGTTGTTTCACGCCCCGTCGTTGAAAGAAAGTCTGTCAAATGTACTCGACATATGAAATTAGTGTGTTCCTCTACTTAAGCGTATTAAGACTTATTACTTTATTATTGCATTACCACTGATTATTATTATTATTGGTTTTTATGTCGTTTTGTTACGATTGTGAACTTGCATTAGTCGTTTTTGTGGGTAGCTTTCAATTTCATTCACCGTTTTTGTCCTTAAGAGATAGATTTAAGCAAATCACCACATTAAAGAATAATTCATCTTGGAACCCCAATATGTTCTATAAGTGTAATTTTTATAAGAGAGATGAGAGATGCAAATCCAAGTACTGCTCGATAGATGGATGTGCCAGTTAGAGAGGATTAAGCAATTGACTGTAGATCAATTAATAAAAAATCTATCACACTCACACAAATTGTATTATTTTCAGTATCAATAATCAGGATTTTCAGCACTATAAGAATTGCAAATAATATTCTATGGTTTAATTAATTTTATTATCAATCTCACTTTTGAACAGTTCCGTCAGTTTTTATCTACCTTGATGAAATTCTCTAAACCCAGGCTACATATATTATGGACTGTAAGCTTAAAACGCGTTTTTCCACATCTAATAATAAGTGCAATTATGGTGTATTATGGAATACAGATTTTATCTTGGACATCAATTTTGCTTTGCATATATACATTATCGTCTCGCAATGGCTAACAATAAATTTTCTAAAATGTAGCAATGTGTATTATTATTGTGCTACAAGACGCAAGTCTTTGTTGAAATTCCTGAAAGTGGTCACTCCGAAAATATATATTTATTCCATTTTCCCTAAATATAAGACTGGATTTGATATTTTCTACTTTAGCAGAGACAAATAAATAAATTATAAGTAAATTGCTTGTTGCTAAATATTGCAGATCTCTGGTTTATAAGTACACTTTATTTCCTACTACACTTAACACGTGAATCAATAAATATTTCCCTTTATTATCTTTGTTTTCTTTTATCTTTATATTATTATATTCCACCATATATATAACTTTTCTTGTTACTCGTCACACATGTTTTGCGTGTTAAGGCTGTGAAACAATGATATGCACTTCTAATGAGGCAAAAACGTTAAGTTATAAAAATCAGACCATTCAACAAGTATTAATGATACCGAATATTTCAATAATAATAATTATAATCATTTCCCTCAAATTTGCACCGCATAAAATTGAAGGAAAAAAGATTTAGACAATTCCGCTTAACGCCGCTAACAATAAATATCAATATTTGTGCCTACCGTTATGTTTAATATAGCATAACAATTCAGGTATACAATAAAAATCGGCACATTTTGCACAAAATCTTTGCGAAAATAATACTATCCAACATAACAGTGTATAACAAAAAGTGTAAAAACTGAAGTAAAAACGACAACAAAACTTATGTCAACTAAAGAGAAAAAAGTCTGAAAAGTGTAAAGAAAAAATATCTTGTAAATAATCAAACATCTTACTATAGAGGATCACTGCCCATTTAAGGAGCACAGTTGCAGCTGTTCAAGGTGAAAATTTGCGCAACTTCAATTTCTACAAATACATTGGAAGTCACACGTGTACAATATAATGGCATTGGGAGCTTCCTTCAAAATTTGTGCGCCAAGATCACGCCTGCAACAGCTGGCGAGAGCGTTTTGAATACTTTTAATTTTGATTTCCTAAAAATCTTCGAACATCTTGAGCTGAGATTCTGTGAGAGCCGGGGATTCGTCCACTGCTTGCTCGGGGTAGTCATCAAAGTTACTCGTATCACCATCGGAGTCTACTTTAGGCACAATAGGGGGCTACAAAAAGCACTCGTTAAATACAAATTCATTGACAAATTGCGTCATCTCACCTCTAACTTTCTACCAATCACATCTTGCCAATCAAAAACTTTAAACCACCGATGCCTTTTGATGTCTTCAGCACCATTCTGTGAGATAGTAAAAAAAATTAAGCATAAAAAATTTACCAAGCAATCTCAATTTACTCACTTTCATATTTCCTAGCCTCTTGGTCCTATCAGCAACCAGCAACTTTTTTATTAAATCCTTAGCTATTGGGTCTAGGGTACGTGGCCACTCAAGTTTGCAAGCCAATATTTTTTCATAAATCCCAAATGGGTTGTCATCAAAGAAAGGTGGGTAGCCGGCAAGCATTTCATACATGAGTACACCTGCAAAATATTATAATAATTAGATTTCGCAAAAACAACAAGAGTGAAAAAAATACCCAATGCCCACCAGTCTACTGCTTTATTATGGCCTTTGCTTTGAATTATTTCAGGTGCCAGGTACTCGGGTGTACCACAAAGGGTCCACGTCCTGAAAGATTGAGTTGCATAATTTTCACAAATTTTTTGTTGCATCATGATTTGTACCTGTCTGTGAGCTTTTTTGCAAATCCAAAGTCTGTGATTTTGAGATGACCTTCGCGGTCGAGGAGCAGGTTTTCTGGTTTGAGGTCCCGGTAGACGATACTCTTGGAGTGCAGGTACTCGAGAGCGCTTACAATCTCGGCCGAATAGAAGCACGCTGTTTTGGGCGAAAATCGACCCGCGTGCCGCAAGTAGGAAAAGAGCTCTCCGCCACACACATACTCCAAAAGCATGTACAAAGCTTTGTCGTCATGGTGACTCCACTCCCTAAATAAAACACGCAGCTCTCATTAAAATTTTGTCGCGCACATTCGTTTCAAACGAGGGTGAATAAAATGCAAATGAGTATCGTAAAAAAGTAGTTTTACAACCGTGACAATAAAAGCACGTACTGTGGTAACCGCACCGCTTTAAAGCAAACTTAAGTGCCGCGCTACAAACTTAACCCGAATTCTGTTTAATTGTCACCTCTGAAAGAAAGCAAAAAAGATTCGCGGTCGGGTAGGAAAGGAGATAGCACGGCATCTGGCAGATATTTCTTCACGGGCAAAAGCTAGAGAGATGTATATAATTGCCAGCAGCGCGAAGGCGAGAGTGTACGTCTGTCCGTGCATATATGTATGTACCGGCGCTTCTTCTTCACTATTTATTTTTAGAGCCGCGTCTTGTGATGTATGAGTGAGAAGAAGTAAAAACAAGAATAAAAATAAACTGCACACTACTACTTTCTCAATAAAAATAACACGCGATAGCCTTTCACCGCGGGGTGCAGCAGCAAGTAATTATTTATGAATTTCAAAAGCCATAAACACCACTCCAGCAGAGAGGAAAATAAACCTCCCGCGGCTCAAATCACGAATGGGAAATGCAAAAATTGATCGAAAGGGGGTGCCGATTGAGGCAAGCCGGACAAGTTCAGCACCACGGGTCCACTTTCTCGTTGTAAACTTTACATATATATTTATATTAATAGCACTAATGGGCCTTAATTTAATCGCCGTCCGAGCTGCGTACGTTTCGCTGGCAAGGTGGGAGCCAGCGTAAATTAATTAGGGACGCGGAATTATAATATCAGCCGAGGGATAAATAAGCGCAGCAGCATCAAAAGCTCGAGAGCATTAGTTGGGTGGGTGCCAGAGGCGGTGGTAACAGACACTCACAATCTGACTATGAATGGGTGGTTGATGGCAGCCAAAATCCTCTTCTCGTTTTTTACGTGCTCCACCTGTTTCAGACGGATGACGTCTTTGAGGAGCAAGATCTTGAGCGCCCAGTATGTGCCGCCTTTGGTTTTATTGTCATCCGACTGTTTATTGCTCGACGGACCACCGGCAGACAATGCGCCGCTGCCACCGGGCTGCTTCTCTTGGCACAGACAAACGCGGCCGAAGGTGCCGGTGCCTGCAAGTTAATGGAGCGATTAATCGAAAGACTAATGAAAACGTCAAACTCCGTCTAGGCTTACCAATGGTCTTCAAAATCTCAAAGTCGTCCAAATTGTGCTGATTGTTTTGGTCGCGCTGCTGCTGATCGTTCGAGGGGTCCAACTTGGTCGGGCCCATTTTACGGCGGCGCCTCTTCTCACTCGGCTACTTTTAGTTGGTCAGACAAGTGTAGTGGTTAGTGCGGCCAACTCGATCTCTTCAGCGGCCGTCGCGTGCCATGATTGATGTCAACTCTGCTGACAGAGCAGCTGTCGCACGCTCTGATTTTCAGCGCCAATCGCGACTAATTTAGCCTTAAGTGGGCGGCAATCAAACGCCGCGAGGGCTGCAACCCCGGTGGACGCGGCCGCACCCTCACGTGCCCTCCTGCTCACAAATTCGCCGCCGAGCGACTACTACTTCGACTCGGCTCCAGCCTCCAGACAGGACAGCCCAAGGGCATGGAGCGCTGCATCTCTCTTTCTCTCTCTCGCTGCTGAGAGCGGGTGGAGGGGGGAAATTAGGTCTTCTCTTCCATGTTGGACCTGTGCCTAGTTTGCTTGATTGCTTGTTGTTGGTCGTCGAGTCAAGTCGAGCTCGCGCCGTCAGCCAAAGAGCGCCGCTCTCGTGAATTCAATCCTGCCCTCGCTCACTGTGGCGCTAAATTACAACAGGGTTTAAAATTACACCTCGTGGTCCGTCTTTGAACTGTCAACCCTTAACCAAAGATTTACGACATGTCTCCATTCTGTTGACATTAATTTATTCTGAATTGGTGAGGCCAACAAAGTGTATCGTAAATTACAGCCATTTAATCAAATAATCAATTGATAATTGAATTATGAATAATGCTCGCGGTTTTTTTTATTTTAATTAAAGAAACTAAATATTATATGATCCCCCTACTCTAATACCTGATTAAAATCTGTTTTTAGAAGAAATCCTTGTGTGCCTTGTACAGTTTGTCTTTTATTATTAAAATATAATTCTTATTCCCTATTTCTCTCAACCACCTTCTCATAGAAGTGTGGTGCGACGTCCTCCAGCACTCCTGGCTCAATGACTGTTATGTCCTTCATGTAGGCCTTACCAGTGTGCAGAATTTCACTGTAAATCAACCTGAGGACAAAAGAAAAACAAATCCATAAGTGTGTTTAATGATTTAATTAAAAAAAAAAATCAAAATTGTTTGATATCAAACGGAAAGCAGTAATATTTCCAGAAAATTACTCACCACTCTGCATATTCCTCAGCATATAGCACTGACGACGGGTGGATGGCCAGCTCTATATCTCCCCTGACTGTTCTGTAGGCACCGGAGTGATGCAGATATGCTGCATTTGGGAAGAAGCCAGCTGCCAAGCACCTTGTCACCACTTCCGAACTTCCTAAAAAGAAAAAAAAATAGTACATGTTATAGGTCTATCCTGAAAGGACCAATATTGTTCAACACTAACCGTGGCAAGATGCAATTGGAATATTGAACTTCTTGTTAAGCAATTTTTCCATCCGAGATCTGATTTCGCAAGCCCTTTTCAAGGCCCTGCTGTTCAATCCGCTCCGTGAGCACCAGTCTTTGGTTTTGTTGGACGCCATGTAAGCGTTATAGACGTTCAGCAAAGTGAGCAAATCACCTTCCTCAACCTGTACCAAAATTCATTTTATTTTATTATTTTATTGAAGAAAAAAAAATTAAGTCAAACTAACCTCAAATTGCCTTCGAGCAACCTTGCACCTCATGTTGCCTTGACCTGACGCTGGCTTGAGGAAAACATTTTGTACTTGCAGCATGGCCATGATTGACAGAATTTCCTCACTACATCCATATTCACCTGTGAATTTAATCATATATATATTTGTCCTCTTAATCAGAATTCCAAATTTGTACCTGAGGAAACAAGGCACTTGGCTTGGAGGGCGCTGCACGGAAGCTCAGCCATGGTTGCCCCGAGAGGGTGTGTCAGTTGCCCTTCTCTGTCCAAACCACCAAGGGCATACAATAGTTCAAGGGCTGCCAACAAACTCGCAGCAGGAGGAGGCGAAGGGAACGTGAAACGCAGGACGTTATCAATGCCCAGGGCTTTCAACTGTAGTAGGGCCGAGGACAACTCTGACCGCTCCATTTCCGGAGGGGTGGCCCTCTGCAGCTCATTGTAAGCTTGCTCAGTGTAAAGTCGAAAACACATTCCAGGTCGGACACGGCCAGCTCGACCTGCTCGCTGGTCAGCCGAGGCTTGTGAGACAGGGACGACGATGAGTGCATCCGTCAGTGAGGAGGTGTTAAACCATCGAAGCTTCATGTAGCCAGAGTCAACAACTAACCAAAATAGGCAAAATAGGTTAAAAAATTTGAAATTTAATTGTAAAGAATTGGGACAATTTTTTTTTGTCCCCTAATCCTAATTCTATTTACCATAAACAATGCCTGGGATAGTGACTGATGTTTCAGCAATGTTTGTCGCAATTACAATTTTTCGGTGCCCTTCCTGGGCATACCTGAACACCTTCAGCTGGTCACTATTAGGTAGAGATCCATACATGGGAAGAATTTGCATTTTCACTAAAAAAGGTATTTATTAGTTGTTGGAAGGTTCTAATTCCTCACTTAATTTTTACATTTTCCTTTGTCAAGAACTGCATGTTCTTCTAAACGAGAAACCGCTCTGTCCACTTCCTCTTGACCAGTAAGGAATGCAAGGATGTCTCCAGATGGCAAATTCTGGTGAATTTTCAAACAGGTGCTCACAACTCCATCGACATAATCTGGGACAGGGTCTGCAAAATAAAATTAAGTAAAAAATCAACTCAACACAAACCAATTTTAACTAACCTATGACATAGTTGACGGTGACTTCGTAAAGTCGGCCTTCGACACTAAGTATAGCAGCCGAATTGTCATTCTTGCCAGAGCTGAAGAACATTCTTAACTGCTCTGCGTCCACAGTAGCCGACGACACAATTAGCCTCAACTTTGTATTTTTCTAAAACATGCAATTTTTAATAATAATTAAAAAAAGCACATTTGGTATCACACACCCTCAATATCTTTTTCATTAGTCCCATTACGATGTCAGTGTTTAGAGTTCTTTCATGAACCTCATCAAGAATTATCACACTGTATTGCCGTAGCAGAGGGTCAGCCATCATTTCTCGAATCAATATTCCTTCAGTCATATACTAAAAAAATAAAATTTTTTAATATTTTATTTATAATCTAAATAATTTACTTTGATTCTTGTGTATGTAGGATCGAAGCAATCGTCAAAGCGAATACTGTAGCCCACTAGACCTCCAAGAATGCAACCCTTTTCCTCAGCCACCCTCTGCGCCAGGGTGGTGGCCGCCACTCTCCTAGGCTCGGTGATCCCAACCAATTTTCCATCATCGCACCATCCAGCTTCAAACAGGTACTAAAACGCAAAACAAAAATTAGAAAAAAATATCACAAATTTTTTTCCAGCTAATCATACCTGTGGGACTTGCGTGCTCTTTCCGCAACCAGTCTCTCCAACAAGAATCAAAGTTTGGTGTTTTTCCAAAAGGTAAAGTATGTGGTTTCTGTTCTGGAAAATGGGCAGTTTCTGACGCTGCTGCTCGTAGGAGAGCGAGTGGTGTGGATTGAAGATGAAACTCGTGCCGTCGGTCGGATCCAAATCGGACTTGTCTTCCGACCACGGAGTGTCGGCTGGACGCTTGAAAGACGGCCTGAAGGATCCTGTCAAGTTCCTGTCCATTTTTACAGACTCTTTATACCAATTAAATCGATTATGATAAATTTGCAGAAAATGCAAAATTCATTTTAGCCGGCGTTTTGGAGTTGTCTTGTGTCTTGTTTACATGATTTTAGCTCTGGCAGTGGTGCCAACTAAATCAGTCTTAATCAGTCACTGCAACACAACTTAAATTTCGTTGAATTTTATTGAAATGATAATTATGTCATAAGAATTCAAGAGACAGTGGGTGTCGCGGGAATAACTAAAAAATTTAATTATTCAAAAAAACTAACTAAATACAATTATTTTACTTCTTTTCTTCCTTTAAAATTTGGAAAGATTACAACTTATTTTTATTTAAAATTTACTTGTGTTGTTCATTTATCTATTATACTATCTATGCAAGATCAAAATACCGTTGTAAATAGCATTGAGCTGTGCAATTTATCAGTAATGTAAAAGCAAAACTGATCTCGATGTCCTTCAATTTTTGAACCAATAATTTTATGCTGCATTTTTTAAGAAATCTCTAATTTCTGAATGAAATTTTCCTATTAGCAAATAATTATACTGCTTGAAGTCTAAATTTTGAGCCACCAAAATTAAAAGCATAGCTTGCACTGTACCAATTTTTTTATTAATTCACGTGAACTTTTACAGATTATTAACACAATAAAATTTAGTTTTTCACTGTTTGCTTGGCTTCATTTTTCACTTGGTGACAAAAATCCCGAATTGAGAAAAAGCATTAAAATTACGTGTATCGTTCACTTGTTCATAATACTTGACAAGGATTTGCCTCAACGGCAGGAGCAGTAGAATTCGTATAAAAAATCGGAAAAGTGAATTTATTTCTTGTATTAAACAATGGATTATATTATTCGCCCCTTGTGTAGTAATACGTACTTAAGATATCCCGTTGTTGGCGCAACTCGCGGCTTTGACGGAAAGTTACGGAGCAAAAGCACAAGTTAAGACTAGGGAATCTGTTTTCGCACTTTTGCTTCGCCGCGGGTGTTACAACCAAAGTGTAATTCGTGTAATTATTATATAAATAGCAAAAAAAATTATATCAGTTTCAATCGTTGCTGATGACACCTCTTGTTGCAGGTTTCGCTGAGAGTTAATGCAAAATTAACAATTAGAAAATGTGCTTAATAAAAATCAGTCCTCAAGTAATAATACAATTATCGTTTAATTTATTGTTCCTTTCTCAAGTTAATTGGCAAAATTTATTAAATTGTGCAAATCAAGAAGGTGGATCTACTCCAAATGAAATCACACTTTTCTTTTGAGACATCCAATTTGCAGAAAGAAGAGCTTACCCCGGACATTTGAAAATAATTATGCAAAACCCACCCTGATTTTTTTGTGTGTGAAAAAAATCTATAAATTGTCGATCGGTGTAAATTTACTAAAAGCAGCAGCAGCAGCGATGGCGGAATATCTTAGTGTGACAGCGTAAAGAGAATAGTAGAGTAGGGGACATGTGTGTTTTTGACGAGCAGAGTCGAGCGCAAGCTCTGGGCACACGAGAGCAATTCCTGCGCCCTCGTCACACATTCTTTTCTACTGCCTGTCGGTGGCGCGCAACTTCTCTTCCACCGCTTCTTCCGACGCTTCGGACAGATCCGTGGCCTGCAAATAACAAACACAAATCAAGAGTTTTGACAATCAGTATCAAACGGAGATGGTACCTGGATGTATTTTTGCACTCCTACAAGGGACTTCTTGAGCGCATCAAAGCTGGACGAGTACAACATCTTCTTCTTGACCTTGGCAGTGTCAGGGCACCACGACATCAGGAACAGCTTCTGCTTTTTTGAGGCCTGCAAAGATTAAACATTTATATTAGTTCGGGATTGAAAAGGAACTTGATACAAACTTTTAATGTTCATAAATTTGATTAAATTGAATTTTCAATAACTAGAAAATGAAAAGTCAACAAACTTTGGATAAAGTAATGATTTCCATGAGCTAAAGTGAATTAAAGCCTACATAAATACATCAAATTAAATATAAAAAACCTATGGTAAACTTATTTACTAAGGTAACTGAAAAATACTGAAAGTTCTATCATTTAGTGGCAATTTCTTTACCTCTGAGGTGCCTTGACACTGATGTGTGTACTCAAAGTCGAAGAGGCCATAACGGCATTCGCCGGTTCCACCCTTCTGGAGATCCTCAAGGAACGAATCATAGATAGCGTTCCTGTCGCCTGCAATTATAATTCAGATTCAAAAATTCATCTTCTTGAAAAATATGAAATTTGACTCAGCATATGAGTCATTAAGTCAAAATTGCAGCGAATGCGAAATCAAGCAGAAACCCACCTATGACTTCGACATCAATCTGCTTCTCATCTCGGATGAAGAAGACGACGTAGCGATGCTTCTTGTCCTTCTTGATCTCCTCGTACGTTGTCTTGCACGCGTCAGACACAGTCACACCCGACGCCTATACAAACAGAGAAACAAAAAAATTATATTATTTTCCAAAGGATTGAAATTTAAAAAAGGAGCGAATATTAATTATAAGGTTTAAATAAAACCACAAGGACAAGGTATGCGAAACGCATTCCACGCCAATATAAAAGTGGGAGCCAGGGATTTTTTTTATAAAATTAAATAATTTCGCCAAATTATCACAATTATTTTCAATGCCAATATCAAAATTTCTATTTTTTTCTCTCAAATTTTTTACACTACTTCGCCAACTCAGCGCTTGAAACGGAGGGTAGCGCGCTTTAGCCACAAGCCACCCCTTGTTGCGCACTCTCCCCTCCACCGCGCAATTTCAACATCCCTTGCTTGTGACCATATAAGGGCAAAATTCTGAGCCGGCACATCGACGGAGTGGCAAATCGCACCGCAGTTGGTCCAAAGAACTTGAGGAAGTTTCTCTCTTCGCATGCGAAACGGAAAAAGTCGCAAGAGTAAAACGCCGCTGTGGGTGGTGACTCACGGCTGAAAAACTCGCGGCAAGGTCGTTGCTCGTTATTGACACGGAGGAAAAAAACTTGCGATTAGTCACAAAACAGAACAAAGGGAGCTCGTGCAAAAAGCGGCGGCCAATCTTACGCTGCTCATTTTCTGATTTGAAGCGGCGACGGCCCAAAAAGAACAGAAATTGAAAGGAAAACCAGCCCTCGCCAGTCAATCAATCAGTCTCTGAACGGCGCCCAAAACATTAGGCTACCTGCAAGAGTCCGTGGAAAATTTTACTGCGGTAATTTTCTGGCCCCAGGTTTATGATTCAAAGCTTGCCACATGCATTTTATTTTATTGCAGGTTCGTGTTTGCATCTCGCGTTTCCACCACTTTCGCACGCAACAAAATTTTTGTTTTAATCTCGGTGCCAACAATAGTGTAAAACAATCGTGTAAATGGCCTATTATTATATTTATTATCAATAATGAATTCAGGTTTGTTGGCATTTAAATATCGTGCCTAATAAAAATTCCATAAATATATTCAGGTAAGAATTATAAAAATTTCAAATTAATTTGTTTTTTTAATGCCACCACATACTCGGCTGTTTTTTGTTAATTTGAGTGAAATTGTGAATAACGTGATGTTAAAACGTCCTAAAAAGAGAGCAGATGTGCGCAAAATACCAATTAATTTTGGACTAGAGAAACTCATTTAACCAACCATATATTTCTTTTTTGGCTTTATTTTAAATGAAATTTGTAATATTCTTTTACAACTTCTAAATTATTTAGTGATTTACAACATTTAAAAACCAACTTAGCATTTAACAATCAACTATGGCCTTATCACAGACTTAGGTCATGTTGCTAAATTAACCGAGATAAATCCTGGGTGAGCAAAACGACACCATCTGATAAGTGTTGAGTGCCACTTTGCTATTATTGTGTCATTAAAAGGGTGGATTGCTGGGAAAAGATAGAGGAAGATTCATCGGCGCAAACTTTTGAATGACCCCCGAAATGAATGAAATAAGATTCTCGAGCTGGCAGACCGTGCAAAAGTATGTGAGTGAGTTGGTGCCGACGCGGCAAAATATAGGCCAGCCAGCGCTGAAGTTGCCTTTTAAGGCAAAAGAGTTGCATACGAGCGAGAGAAAGAAAAGACAGGTGCTCGATCGCGAGTTGTATTTATGTATGTATTAAATTTGAAGAGCGTATCGGTGCTGGCATGAAATCCAAGCGCAAAGGCAAACAGGGATAGGCTTGATTAGGTTTCCAGTGGGAAATTTTACGATTCCTTATCAACAAGTGTCTTTTCAGAAAGATGAGGTTAAATTTCATTGCCTGCTTACATTTTATTTTAATTCATAAATTTATGATTTTTATGAATAAAATTAATTCATAAATGAATAAGTGAGATACAATTTTAACTCATAATTTATTTAAATAAATATAATTTTTCAAACTTTTAATAAATCACAGTGGAGCTGAATCAATAAAAAATTTGTCCTTAGATTAACATTTACATTTTATAAACAATGAATTAATATTATGGTTCTTTCCGTTATTTCATAATAAAAATATCCTTCCCAGTAATTTTTCACGGAAATTTTGAAAATAAAAGAGCAACGACCTACACAGGTGTTTTTCCCGGAGAGTTGTCACTGTTTTGCTCAAGGCAGCTGAAATCATCTGGCACCAGAGCCTTGAGGGGAGGTTCCCGTTTATTTTGGGCTCGCATTTGAGTAATTGAAAACAATCTCGGCACCACTGCGGTCGTCCACGCTTTTTAAATATGCATTCTCAGCTGGCAACGGAATTAAGTCGCAAAATCAACTCATCATTAAAATAAATTATAAAAAATTATAATCAATAAAATAGAAATATGTTTGTTAATTTTCAGCTTTTTGATTCAAAACCTTCAACTTATGACAAGCAAGGTCTTTCATTCGCTCCATCAGGTAATTAGCATAGACTTGAATTACGCATGCTAATGAGACACTCAAAAATAAGCTCGGTAGCCGAAGGTTGGATTAATCACTTTTCTCAAGCAATGAATCATCAAACAAATCGTGGAACAAATAAATGCACCACGGTTAATCAAAAATGACATCACGTCCTGCCCCACCCCAAGGCACTCTTTCAGTACTACAATAATAATAATAATTTATATTTTTTACTTTCAATTTTTTTTTTATCACACCTCTGCCATTTCAAAATTCCCAGGTGGGTTTTCGAACATGAGAAATGATTATAAACTAGTCTAATACTAGATAGTCTCTAAACCCTGCTTCCACCGCGATAAAATTTCCGTCACAAACAGGAACTAGAGTAACCGCTATCTCAATACATAAGTCCAGTTGATGCATTAAATTTTTTATCAGGGCGGTTTTAACGGAGAAATTCAGCCTCGTTTTCAGGCGTGAAAATTCTTAATTGCCATCAACATACTTTTGCTCGTTGCTCGCAATTAAAACAAGTACATACATACGAATCTTACAAATTCAAGACCAGTCCGATTTCTAGTGGTTTTTTGATCATTAAAAAATAATTTCACCAGGAAAAATTTCTCAAGTGAATATGTGACAGTGGTATACGATTTTGTCTGAAACTTCCACAACGAGCCAAAAATAAAAATCAGAGAGTGAAATTTAAGTAATGGACTGGAGACGGGGCGAAAACGTGCACTTCGCAGCCGGTCCATCGGAACCGCGAATGTAACACCGCCCATTTCTCTGACAACTACATGATCTCCTTGCCCGAAAGTTTCGCAAACACATTCGTATGCGTGCGAAATTTACTTGTGGTAATTAGCACTTGCATCGGCCCGAGATGGAGAATAATCAACGGATGAGTCAGTCCGCCGCCAGCACAAGGGCCACTATTAAAATGGCGGCTGCCGGCTGACACTGCGGCTTTCGACCCTGTTTTAGCCAATTCAATCGCCAGCGGCAACGCCGAATCGAGGCTCGAAGTCGGGCCGATGGTTTGCACGACGTTCCGGAACTCACCATTTCCCCTGAGCTGGGTCCTCGTTGGTTTTAAGTAACAAGTAAAAGTCACAGCAGGAACAGCCAACACGCGCGGATGACGGTTCCCAACTGAAAAATTACACCCAAATTCCTACGCTTACGAGAGCTCGACGTGTCAAAGCGGCGCGCTGATTGGTCCGCATCCGTCTCGACGAGAGCCGGTAGCCAATCAGAGCGCGACTTTGACGGTGTAGTCGTTTCCTCAAGGTGTGACTGATTAATCCTCGAAAATTTTATCAAAACAATTTTACCTCAGCGTCAAACGCGGTGATAAGAAAGCCAATTACTTATTTGGTCATTTTCGATGACTGTGCGTCTTCAAATAAATAAAATTTAGTCATAACAAGTATCGTTACTTGAGTACTTCGCCTCGTTAAGCAGTTACTTAGTTTTTGATTTATTAGATTTAATAATTGTAATACATTCATTTCAATTTTTATTCGTTACTTAATTCGCACGCAAAGATAACAGCAAGACAAAATTAGGTGGTGTTTAATACGAAAAATGTTCGGCAAAAATATCCAATCACACTCTTGTATCATAGGTTATTGCCATATAAGGTAAGAACGATTGAGGCGCGAAATTTTAAATTTTTAAGACTTGTTCCGCATTTTAGCACTTTCTAATCAAACAGAAATTTAATTCGCTTCTAATTTTCAAGGGCAAGTGCTTTTAAACAGCATAGTTTTGACTGTCCCTGAGCCAAATAAATTTATTTTCCCGCAGTTAACATATTTTTTCAAAGCATTACAACAAAAATTATCCTTCTCTCAAAGTACATCATTCCATCCACAATAAGTTACACATGCAATATCAATAATTATCATTTGCAAGGCAAATACCTAAACAAGAAAGGATATTCAATACTTTTACAGGCGATGTGTTGTATACCAGAATTCTCATGCTAAATGAGCTCTTGAAAATTTTTGAATATTTTAGCTAATACAGAACAGTACTTGATGAAGCACAAAATTGGCACTCTTACATTCCTCTCTTCATTCAGTATAATTAATTATAGTGTATAAAGGCTTTAAATTAGTCCTCGTTTCTTCTTATAGTCCTCTAGATTTAAAGAACGCCTTGGTCCAGTGTCCTTTACTGCGTTGACAGACTTTGAGGTCATAGAAACAGGATTGTCTGAAATCAATCAATAAATTGGTATCACACAAATTTTGAACGATTTTTCTGAGCTCACGAGGTAAGGGTACTTCTAAGTCGATCTTGATATCAAAATCGTGGGCCGAAAAAAGATCTTCGCTGGGCTTCGGCACTTGGAAAGAAGGTTCGGCAGAAGTGCTGTTTGCCTTTTCAGGTAGTATAGGTTTTGGCATTTCCATAGGTTCCTTAAAAAAATCTTCAATAAAACCATATTCCCTACAAGTTAAACGTTATCACCTCATCCTCAGGTTTGGGGTTTTTGTCCTCAGCTTTGAACACCATTCTCGGTTTTGTGCTGCGCCTAGTGAAAGGATCGTCAACCTTCCTGCCCTTATTTTCTCTTAATTCCTCCTGCAAATTTGAATTGAAAATCTATTTGAGAAAAAGAATAACAACCTCACCAAAATAGCCTCTTCAGCACGCTCAACGTTTTTCTTTCTATTCCTGTCGTTAATGTAGCTAATACTCTGAATGGTTTGTGTGCGGGCCTTGTCTAACTCGTTGGCTCTCTCTTCCAGGTCGGCCAGTTTCTTGTCCATGTCATTCACAATCGACTCGTCACCTCTATAATAAGATATTTCTTTACTAAAGTTATTTGAATAACAATTAAAATTATACCTCTGCAATGCCTCTTCTTTGATTTTCATGTATTCGGTCTTTCTCATTGCGTAATTGAAGGGGTTAGTTTTGAACCTTTCTTTTTCACGCACAATCTGAAATTTAAGTACAAGAATTTAAGTGAAATTTTTATATTTTAAGTTTCCTTCCACCTTTTCAATATCCTCCTCTTTGAATTCATAAACCATAGCTTCATTTATGCTTTTGACTTTCTTTTCAACTTCATCCATGGTGGGAAGAGTTACGCCTTTACTGTCGCAAGCTTTTTTCCAGTGCTGAAACTCCGACTCTTGGAATTCCGTATTGCTCACAAATTCCAGTCTGAAGACTCGTTCATTGCCACCATGTCTGCGTGTACAATACAAGTATAGCAGATTTTCAAGCCAAAAGTAAAATCTTTACCTCAACTTCAGACCCTTGTTAGTTCTAGTATTGCCAAGCTGGTATATTTTAGCAGTTTCACAAACATCCATAATCTCAGCAACCTAAAAGAATAATAATAAAAGAAAATAATTAAGAAATTGGTTGCTAGAAATTTAATGCTTGACTTACTCGGTAAACTGGAGTTCCGTAACTATCATTTCCAATGCCTATCCTGACAAAACATCCTGTGGCAACGCGGCCAAAGAATGGTAGATGCACGAATCTAGAAGAGCAATGAAATTAACATTTGAAGAATGGAACAAATTAGTATGGCAAATCCAATTAATCGACGTACTTTTCCATCTTGTGCCGCGAGAGTCTGATCTTGTTAAGTTCTTCCCGCGACGAGATGTACTGAACTTTTTTGACGCTGGCTACTGATCTGCTATCCGACTCAGAATCTGAGCTGCTGCTACTGCTGGAGGAGCTCACAGAGCGTTTACGTGAAGGGCCCTTGTCTGGTTTCCCACTCTCGTCTCCACTATCATCAGAGTATATGTCTGATAACTTGAGCTTGGTGGGTGCCTTGTCGGAGTCTTCTTCTTCGCCGTCTTCCAAATCCTTATCGCCCTCTTTTCCTTTGCTCTCCAATTCCTGACGAGCCTTTTCTTTCTCCTCTGCAGATTATAAATTAGATTTGCATAATATTATACACAATTTCCAACTCCAACCTCTGTCAATTTTGGCTTGTCTCTTGGCCTTGAGCAAGTCCATGGCTTGGGCTTTCTTATCAGTCTTGCCTCTGTTTTCCTCAGCTGTTTTCTTTCGCTCACTACTGCGTTTAACATCAAAGTTGAGTTTGTCTGAGCGCTTTTTATTCTTGTTCATTTCTTGTTTTCTGGCCAGTCGAAGCTTCTTCTCAATATCAAACCTAGAAAATAATTAATTAGTAGGTTTTTTACCTGCCAAATAATGCTAAATTCACCTTGTTTTCATGACTTCACGTTGCTCAACTCGTTTAAAAATTTCCTGCTCTCGTTCCTTTTCAGTCATCTTAGCCAGCCTAGCCTGATCTTCTTCGTCACCCATCAGGTTTTCGTCGTATCCATCATTGAATTCCTCTTGACTGTCCGAGTCAGAAATTTCTGAATCACCCCCTGAGTCCGAAACTTCCCCTGAAAATAATAGAAAAATTAAAAAAAAATTTATTGCCATTCTACTAAAATTACCTTCTTCTGGCTCAGACCGTTCTGAGCTTTTCTCCTTCTCGCTGACCTCTCCCTCGCTTTCGGATGACTTTGAAGTTCTTCTCGATGACTGCTTTTTCTTCTTTTTGTTTTTACTCTTCGACGCCCAGTCGTCGTCCGAATCAGAGGTGTCAGAGTCTGAGTCATTGTCAGACTTCTTGCTATTTTCTACCGCCGGAGATGCTGGAGGTGGAGATTCGCTGCCCGTTTTCTTCTTTTTGGCAAGTGACAGCAGATCCTGCAAGAAAATGCACCCAAGGATGTTCGAATGAGCGAAATACGTTACAAAACGTAAGATATCTTTAATTGGGTCGCGACACCCGTTCAAGGTAAAAAGTCTAGAATAGCCAGAGCAGCAGCGAATATGTGCATCCTTGAAAAAGTAGCGGCTGCCAAGTGCGACAAACATGCATGCAAAACACACGCACCGAGTCCAAATCAGATCCGCTGTCGTCACTCGCGTCGCTGTCCGAATCGATGAGCACCTGGTTTTTGCGTTTGACCATCTTGAAGGGCTGGAAGTCGTTGGCTGGAGAAGAAAGTTACAAGTAGCAGCGGAGGGCTCAAAATGAGTCACAAATCAATTGCGGGGCGCGCACACCGACTGATCATGCCGCCATTTTCAATGTTTGTTGACGTCATGAAACATCTGAGGCGCGTGCGCACAAGTTTGTTGTTGAAGCACCAGGCGCGCCAGCCGCCAGAAGAAAAACAGCCAAAACAGGCGCAGATATTTTAAAATGGCTTCAGGCGGCAATAATGCGACCAATTCTGAACGTAAGTGTAAAATTTGAACATTTATTCACGTCTTTTCTCATTTTATCCATATGGAATTGCACCTCGCACTGTTTTTATTCCTGGAATAATAGTTTGTCCTGGAAGAACCTCGAAATTTTGTCGAGATATTGCTAAAGTTTTCAATGCTCTCTGCTTTTTTTGACCAAGTTGTTGTCATTTTAGCCGAATATGAAGAAGTCACGGAGAGATACGACGATGACTTCGATGACCTTTTTAGTTTGGAGACCATGGACAGAGCCTCACCTGAACTTTGGCCGCAAAGAAGTATGAGCTTTCATTATTAAAGTACACAGTAACAAAAATAAAGAGGAAATCACTTTTGCAGTCAATGGATTGACCGATCTCGCTTCTCTGGGCAACGAGGCCGGCGTTCCACCCTGGGAGGCACCTTTGAACCCTGAGGACATCAGCATGCTCCACCGTAACATACTAAAATTTGAATAATTTTTTATCATCGAATTAATTTCCATTGTAAAGATTTCAGCACTTTGACGCTGTCGGCCCTGATCGTCGAGGTGCGTAAGCTGTACGACAAGGCTTATCAACTGGGCTTGGACGAGTCCAAGGAGATGACCCGAGGCAAGTACCTAAATATCCTTAACCGCCGCCGCAAGCCTGAATCGAACTGAAATGGTACTCAACCGATCGAAGGAAAATTAAAATATTAAAGGGTTCTAAAAAAAAGTGGAAAAAGGAGCACCAGCGTGTAATATAAATAAACGTTTGTTTTAATTTTATAACAGCAGTCAAAATAATGCAAATAAAATGTGAGAGAAATGGTATGTGAATTAATTAGTCTTTGATCTTTCATTAAACATTAACACTAGACTCCCGCGAGGTGTAAATTGAAGCTTTTTCACTCTTAGATGGATTCATTTTAAGATATCCTTCATAGCCCTCAGAATCAACATCTGCCTCTTTTGAGATTCCTTTTGACAAGTTCACATAACTACCCGTTTTTGTAGGTAGCACAGTGTACATAGGGTTGTTGACTGCATTTTGCTTTCCGTTTGCTTCGCAACCTAAGTTTTTCACATCAGACACTCGAGCTGGAGTTTCTTTTGAAGAGGAGAGTCTTAATTCTTTCTCATAGATTTCCTGCTGAAGCGAGTTCATTCTTATGTAGGGGCCGCTTAGGTCAAGATAAAACTTTAAAAAAAGAAATAGATTTGTGTGTTTAAATTAAAAAATAAAATCAATACTTGTTTGACATTGTCGTCCAGAATTTGGCCCAATTTGTTGACGAGCTCGCTGAAGTCAGGTCTTTTAGAAGAATTTCCATCCCAGCATGACCTCATGATTCGATATCTGATATTTAATAATAGTTCGTAAAAATTCTGCTAAAATAATTGAAATAGAATAATAAAAATCAAGTACATTTGTGAAGTTGCGTATTGTGGCTTCTCCATGCGATACCCGTCACTTAATCTTGGCAAAAAGTACTCATCCAAAGGAATCCCTGTAAAGAAGTCCACAATTAAATTTCAATTTTATTAAAAAATGTTTCTTGAAAAACCTGGGTAAGGTGTTCTTGCCAAAGTGAAAAATTCCCATAGCACAATTCCAAATGACCAAACGTCCGATTCAGATGAAAAAACGCGGTCCTGAATTGACTCAATTGCCATCCATTTGACCGGAAGGGGATCCTAAAATTTGATATAAATAATGCTCATGTATTTTTTAAAATATTTTTCATAATTACGTCTCCTTTTTTAAGATAATTTGCGTCGTTGTACAAATTCCGAGCAAGACCAAAGTCGCAAATTTTGACCACGTTATTCTCGGCTAATAGAATATTCCTTGCAGCCAGATCGGCGTGCACAATCTGAAAACCGCAATTATTGGTGTTCTGTTTGAACGGAAACCGGAAAAAAGAAGTTCACGCACCCTTCTCGAAGCGAGATATTGCATGCCACGAGCTACTTGGTAACTCCAGCAAACCAAGTCTTTGGTGGTTATCCGCTTGAGCTCGCCTTTGAAGTCGCTCCTGTACTTTGTGGTCCAGTGCTCGGTGACGCTGCTTCCATCCGTGGTTGACGTCGCTTCCCCTGCGGTTTTTTCAAGAAATTATGAACGGTTCAAAATAGAAAGTAAATCAGAAGCTACAAAGAAATTTCTAAATAAATCACCGTGGTATTTGTTATCGCAGTCGGGCTCGTAAATTATCGTCCTGGTTTCATTCTTGAACAAAACTTGTTTCTGCTCCATTATCACACTGAAATTAAATTCGTAATTCAACGTTTATGAACCAAATTTTATAAACCTGTGATTTTCGTAATGCATTTCGTCCTCGTCTTTGGCGCCAATTGAAAAATCCAGGGTGTCCTTTAAATGGTTGACCTGATCCACAAAATTGTCTCTTTGCCTTAGAAGATACGAGTGCAGATTTCCAAAGCGGCAGTACTCCACAATGACTAATAACTCCTCTGTGGATTATCATTTTAATTTTGGATTTGATAAATTATTTTATATTTTTACTGTTGCTCAAATTTGAGGTGCAGGCGCCAAGCAAGTTGACTACATTCAGGTGCTTTCCAACGTGAATCAAAATTTTCAACTCGGTCATCAACGCCTTGATTTGCGAGAGCTCGGCGCTCGGTTTGACCATTTTGACTGCCACGATGGTCGGATTATGCGGCTCTTGTTCGTCCGCGGCTGAACTTTCAAAATCAGTCGTGGTGCCAAACAGGGGTGCACTCGCCTCCGCGCGAACAACCCTGCCAAAAGCGCCGCTTCCAAGTTGCCGACCTTGAAATTGTATCATTTTAAGACGTGTGTCTCAATTTTTGAGCAAAATCAGAAGCTTTTTACAGTTTTTTAATTTATTTTCAATTCAAAACTTTGTACAGGTAAATTTTTCGTTTAGAAGTACCTAGTTTAAGGTGCTCCCTGGGAAATTCGTAGTTGGGGTTGTATGGCAAAAGATCGGCTTGCTGGTCCAGAGCCATCGTAAAGTCGATGTTCTCCGTCGCACCCTCTAAGAATAGTTTCACGTCTTGGGCAGTCAAGCGTTGAACTTTCATCTGAAATATTTGAGAAAAAAGTTATTTAAATTGCCATAATTCAAAATATAAATAAAACCTTTTCCTTTTTGACCGCGCGTAGAAGGTAAATTACAACCGACATGAGCAGGACAAGAACTATTAATATGGGAATCAAGACTAGAGGGTTCCACGAGCCTTTGAATTTGTAAAAGAATTAGTTATTAATTTAATGGACGTCTCTCAAAAACCCTACTTTTTGTGGTGACTATGAGATGAAATTCCCTGGAAATGTAATTACCCCTGCTTGAAACTCTGCACTCGTAATTCCCATCGTCAGAAAGAGTTGCGTAAGGTATTTTAAAGCGCCCACCGCCTTGCTCAGTTTCGTTTATTGGTTCCATATTCTGGAAATGAAAATATAACAAGCTATTTTTTAATTTTTATATCGTCCTTACACGAAACCATTGAATTAAAGGCTGAGGGTCTGCTTCAACTTCACAATCTAGCTCAGTAGATTTTCCTTCAGTCACAGAAATTTCCTTACTATATTTTAGCTTCTGGAATTTGGGTGTTATTACCCCTGTGTGAACACATTGTGAATTTTTATTTGATAAATATAAATTAAAGTACGCACTTCTTGGGTCTAGACTATAAGAATGTTGAATTTCATGACCACCTTCCTGCTCGCACTTTGCCTTGCAAATGTAGTTCCCATATTGGTTAGATTGTACTTGACTGATAGTAACTTCACTGAAGTATGAATATTTGTCCTCAGAGCTAGAGATGCGAACACCTGAAAAGAACATAAGCACAATTTAGATTGCCGGTTACACATTCTGAAATAAAATAATTACTATCAGAGGTTATGAGAATTTTCGGTTCAAAGCTTTCGTTTCTCTGGCACGACCATTCCCATTTTTTGACGCATGGATATTTAGGAACGTAGCATGAAATCTGAACATCATCTCCTTCATAAACTTTGTTTGGTTTCACAACTAATTGTATTAGACTTCGCCTATTGGTGACGATCATGATAGTAGAATTGGAGCCGCAGCCCATTTCATTGCAAGCATTGCAAGTAAGATTTCCGGTCATATTTGCGTGGAAGAAATACGATGAAAAACTTCCATTAGATATCTGAAAATTGAGGGAATCATCCTTATTTGCACCCATAAAAATTAATTGTATTCAAATTACGTGCAATGGACTAGAGGGTATTCTGAATCCAAGATTATGTTTGTGAAGTGTGTCACAATCAATTTTCTTATTATGATTCATGCATTTGAATTCCCAAGTAAAATCTGCGTTCTGATTGTTTATCACTTGACAACCAACAGCGTAGCTAGTCCCTGGATAGTACAATGAGGACAAATTCATCAGATGCACGATTGGTTTCCCTGTTGAAATTAATGCAATTTTTTTTGTTATTCATTGGATAAATTTAAGTACCAATTATCCTTAGTGTGAGATTGAGCTCTTCCCTGCTTCCATTCACGCTAGCAACAATTTTGTGAACTCCTGCGTCGCTCGGGTGCAGCGAGTTAATGACGAAACTTTTTTGCTTCTTGGACCTGGAATTGGTAATGTTGTGCTTCGAGTTTTGCGTAGTTTGTCTTCCATCCGGCCTGAAAAAATGTCAGTATAATAATTTAATTAAAAAATAACGCAACTAAGTCGTCAATATTGACACTTACAAAAACCATTGCACAGTCGCATCACTTGGGGCATAATTCACAACCCACCGCACTGTATTTGGCATTTGAGTCTCATTGAAAACTAATTCCTGGGCTCCCTTATTGTCAATACTCAGATATAATCTTGGCTTCGCAACGTTTTCATTACTTGTTTCTTTAGAGGAATGTTTAGTAATTAGTTGTTATAATCCACCTTGCGAAATACCTAATACAATTCGCGCTGTCAAGTTTTTGCGATCTTTCACTTGGCAAACGTAGGCTCCGGCGTCTACGGCTGTGAAGTTTGAAATACTGAGCACCAAAGTCAAAGTTACTGGGTCGACGCTGTCGACGCCTCGACCGGCCCTCTTCGTCGACTCTTGAAGAGCAAAGCGATCGCTCTAAAAAGCCGATTGAATAATAAGTTAAATACTCAGACTTTTGGATTACCGACGGAATCACAGTTCCATTTGGAAAAAGCCAGACCAACTTGGTTTTGTCGTCTTTACAATAAATTTCGCACTCGAGACAAATACCATCTCCTTCTCTTACAATATTTTCCTTCAGTTCTTTAATGCGAGGCCGAATCAATTTCTCGTCAACTGATACATGGAAAATTTTATAAAGTGTAAATATGTTAGACTTTTTAGCATACAGGTAACATTGACGGTAAAAAGAATTGTGTCTTCATGCCAGGGATCCTCACATTCAGGCGGTTTTTCTGCTTCACAGACCCACCAATTGTTATGTGCTCGTAAAGAAGCATTACGTACGATGAAACCAAGTTTGGGGTCAAATTCGTAAGCAGTGTCACTCTGAAATCAATATAATTTTTCGCTTATTTGGTTTAAAAATGACCGAAGAATTAATTAGTGATTGATTTTACTTCATGTGGGTCACGGATCGAAACTTTTGCGTTTTTCTTTGTTGTGCGGCACGGGATGATGAAATCTTCTCCGTAACCAACTACAAAGTTGGCCATTTCTGCATCATCTAATGGAACTATCTCTTTCCCGCACTCATGATCCTCTGGAAATTTTCAAGCGTGCGCCCTGTTGAGACTCTCTCGCACATTTTAATATTTCATTGTGATACCATGGACAAACACGTGAGTAGAGTTTTTCATAACTCCATTTTCGTAGCACGAATAAGTGCCCGTGTCATTCAGCTGGACATTTTCGATGGTAATGACGAACCGTTGGGGTTTGTACTTTAAAAGCGCCCGGCCTCTTTGCTGACCAACGCTGCTCGAGGCTGCCTGTTTGCCGTGCAGCTCCTTTGTGCAACATCAAACTCTAATTTGCATATATCAGGGTGTCCAAATAAATACCTTAAAGTTGTTAACAAGGTAGTCTGGGTGGAAGCGCCACGTCAATTCTCCTTCGCCAACGCACCACAAGGTGATGGTCGAGCTCATCACATACTCCTCGTAGTTTTCCAGGCATTTTGCTTGAGAATAAATTATATTTTTTACCATTCGATAAATTCAAATTATGTATACCAGTGGATAAGAATAAAAGCACTAATGCAACTTGCCTCCACTCCAATTTCATTTTTACGACTGCAGAGAAATTGTTGAACTGCGTCTCCAGTGGAAGTGAAGACCACCACAATTTGGCTTCCGTCGCTCAACCACAAAATGAGTAACTCTTTCTTTGTTAAAGGCACGACTTGATGCATTAAAATTTCCTATTGCATCAGTGTACGACTAAGCGCAAGTAATTCTTTATAATAGAAACACGGTTTTATCACTTTGCTTCTGGAATATTCTAAAAAATTCAATTTCTTCGTGCTTAATAATTGTACAATTGTTTTAAAAATCCCTTTTATATTTAAATAATAATTATGCTCTTATTTATTTAAAAAAGAGGCGCATACAAAGTCTTGATGTACATCATAGTATGATTATTTTGACGCGTGAACTTCAGACAAAACGTCTTGCCTATGCCACTCGATCGCTACACTCGACTGCAACGCACATTGCATACATATGATTCATTCAGGTGCTTGACTCTCCTGCTATTTTTATACAATACGAAAGATGAATTTATCCTATTAAAGTAAATTTTTTAAAATGTTTTCTAAGCAATAGTTAACAATGCAACCAAAAGTGAACAAAAATGCAGATTTTTTTTTTAAAGAATTACAATTTATTAATTTCATAAAAAAAGGAATGCGTCTTTTGAACAAAAATTTTTGATGATGAGTTACTTTAACTCACTTATAATATTCTATTGCAACCAGAAAAAAACATTATCACCTATAGATAATAGATAAAGGGATGTTATATTTTATATGACAAACAAACACTTTATTTGTTTTAAAAACAAAATTTTACCATTTCTAGTTTCCTTGGATATATCAGGGGTTAATTCAAGGGTTAATTTGTACCTGGATTTCTTTGATTGGTCCCTTCTCGCACCCACAGTAATAATTGCCACTGACAGCAGCAGCAACGTTGTTCATTGTAAATTTCACCTCTTTTATCACATAGTTCCTTAAGGCATTCTCAATGTATGATTCTGATGCTACTAATTTATTCCTATAGTTGTTTTTATCCCATGCCTACAAAAATCACGTAATTTTGAATGGATTCTGGAATGGCCTCTTAACAGCATTTTTTACCTCTGTAACTGATGTACCGTTGACAAGAATATTAAACGAGCATTTTTTAATTTCCACTGCTTTGAAAAAATTTGAGCATCCAAATGAGATATCATTGCCTTTCTCCACCACAATTAATTCTTTTCTAACATTATTCGGGGAAGAGTTGGCAGCTGCAAGATTGTTAATCGATAAGCCATAAGGTCAATATATTTAAACTGCGTACGTATAACATTGACCAGGATCGCAATTCCATCTTGAAGAAGCAAGTTGGGACTTTCTTCATACCTTGCCTCGCACAACCAATATCCTGAATGAATTTCCTTTACTGCCCTTCGAATGGTCAATTTATTCTTGAGATTGCTCACGAGATTGAACTGAAAATTAACCGAAATTAACCATTTTTTGTTATTTAGCAAAATAATGGGAGGTTATGAGGCTCGCAGTCATATAGTTAATTTAATCGTGTTTTTAAGTTTGGAATAAAAACCAATTAAATCAGAAAAAGTTAATTAGAGACACCAGAAACCAAGAATTTCAGTCCTGTCTCAATTTGAAATATTAAGCATAAGTATAATTGTTAAAATTATTAAATAAGTCCATACAAATTTGTACATACCGGTCTGTTAGGGCGTTGTAAGAACAAAGATGCGTTGGGATGTGTCAAATGGCAAGGTATATCAAAACCTTTTCCTTCTTCAACCTCAAGAATGCACGAGTTCTTCAAACAGTATTGTTCAAGCAGTAGGTCGGATTTTACTTCTATAATTATTATTATGGTAGTACCACATTGTTAAATTAAAAATATATTACCTTTAATGAACACTTCAAACGATTCAATTAAAATACCATCACTGAAACATCTGTATATGCCAGAGTCTTCAAGACGACTATTTTTAATTTTGAAAATGCTTTTTCCAGGTGTCGTTTTAATTTTGATTCGATTTTTATTGTTGCAAGTATCAATGTAGTCCTAGAAATTGCAAAATCTTAACTCTAATTTAGTGGAAGAGATAATTCAGATAATAAAATATAAAAAATTTAAAAACCTTTAAGTCGCCTAAATTTGGGAGGTGAGTTTCTGTTTCCCAAGTGAGATTGCCTTGACCATTGCACACAAGTTTCACAGTAGATCGCAGTTGATAAGTTTCTTTGCAATTGGCTGGAAATAACTTCAATTATGTACTTTTCTATGATCTTATTTCTTATTTGTCTTACCAGAAAAAATAATGCTATGTGTAAAAATAATCAAGGTGAAAACCCGAAATTCTAGATAATGCCCGTCCATTGCTTCTTATGTGGATTGATGAATGACTTAATTGAAACTGAGTACTGTATAGAATGGTGATCATTAATTTATAAAATCAATATCTCCATATAAATATGATATTTTCCTTCAATTGGTGAGGAAAAATGATTTTTCTTATCTTTGCCTGACCATATTTTGAATAGAAAAATTAAAGTTTAATTAATTCTAACCACAAGGAAAACCTTATTATGCCACATTAACCTCAAGATAAATTAATTGATTAACCTTCTCCTGTGTCCTGACCTCCTCAATTTTTCCTCAATCGGCTATTTCTGGGTTTACTCTAAGCTGTCTTTTACAATAAAAATTAATGGAATAGATTAATCATAACGCTTTATTGCAAACGCCCGTCATTCTTTCAATTTTCTTATTCAAAAGGACTCACTTGAAACTCTTTTGAATTAAATTTGGATTGAATTTAACGCCCACGGCTCTTTTGTATTTATTTAAAATTAAAAAAAATGCAAGATCAATATTAGTTTAATGATTTTTCTATTAGTTTATTCAAATGAAAAATTAAATGTGAGAAAATTGATTCAATGTGGCTTTATTTGCAAATTCTTGATAAATCTCCCGTTAATCACGAGGTACCACTTCAACTTGAAAATATTTGATTGCGTTAATGTAATTTCCGTCTTGGCAGCCGCACGCATACGCGCCACCGTCCGCGAAAGTAATGTTGGAAATTTTCAAAGCCACTTTTCGTCCAGCGTAAGTTGTTATGCCCAATGGAAAAGATGATGACGATCCACTCAAGGAATGACGTTCCTTATTAGCCTGCAGCAGTTTCAAAGTTAGAAAAATAAATTTACCACTGCTCATCAAGTAACTAGGATTTTTACCGGTTCAACAATCCGTCCGTTGAGATAAGGGGAAATATGAGAAACCTTGAGGGGACACGAGGCATGTTCATCCACGTTGTAAATATTAGAGCATCCAATTTTAATTTCTTCGCCCTCTTTAACTATCACCACCTCACTATCTCTTGGCGTATCTCTGGCTGTATCAGTATATTCAAAAATTTAATAAAAAAAATGTTAATATTGAATAGATCAAAATGCATACGTTGAATAAAAACATTGAAAGCGATTCCTTGGAGGTACACTCTTTTACTAGAAGGGTTGCGATAAATTGCCTCACAGGTCCAAAATCCTGAATGAATCGTCTTGTTTGCGTTGTGCATTACAATTGCACCTTTTGGTTTGTTGAACAACTTGACCTGAAAGTCAAATTAATTTTAATCGCATTAGTTCAATTTTTCTTCATTTACCTTGTCAAAAAAATTACAGCAGAGAAATTAGTTTTGTAGAAAATAGATATTTCGTCCTAGTATTGAATTAAAATTTAAATTGTTTTATTTAAAATAAAATTACTTCTCCGTTTGGAGTGTGAAGAAAAATGCTAGCATCCGGCTTTGTCACATAGCATGGGAGGCCAAAATCACTGCCTTCATCAATTCTCAGTACACATGAATGCTTCAGACAGTATGGCACGAGCAGTTTCTCGCCTTTGCCATCTTAAAAATTTGCATAAATATCAAATTAAATCCTTTGAGATGGCTCCTTTACCGTTTATGTACAAATGCGTAGTTTCTTTTAATGTGTCGTTCTCAAAACATTTGTAAATTCCAGTGTCATCAATCTTGCTATTTGTAATTTCAAGAATACTTTGCCGCGGCTCTTGCTGCAAATTTATGCTGAATCTGCTCCTTCCTTCAACAGGCTCGCCAATTCTATTTCTCTGTTGTAAAAAAATATTGACTTGCATTCATTACCAATTTATTATTTCAAACCTCTATTCCCTCCAAAATTAAATTTTTTGGCTCAGAGACCCACTTTAGATTGCCTTCACCGACGCAGGAAAGCGTCAATGTAGATTTTTCCCGGTGCTCCACTTCGATCACATAACTCTGTGCTGAAATTTAATGAACTTGTTAAAAGAAAAAAATTAAAAATAATTCCCGTACCTAAATTAATGCAGCTGAGTAATAGCCCAGCGACAAAACACCAGCTTAAGAGCCTCATTTTTACTGAGCGGAGTGTGAGAATGAACGAGAGAGAAATTATTTTGCAATCGATCTTGGCAAGGGTCACAGGTCTTGATTATCAGTTTATCAGGGTCAATGGTGCTTTATGTAATGCATCCTCATCTAGAGCTTAATCTAGAACTTAATATTTTTCCTTTTGAGTATTAAGCAGTGAACAATGTAACAATTCAAAAATATATTAAAAATTACTGAGATTATATCTTAGAGTTAGTTTTAAAAATGAGATAATTATATTATGTATAGTGTAACACGCTTTAATACATAATGTAATTATAATATCATTATAATACAACAGCTGGAAAGATACAGTTTGTTATTTAAAAATACATTCCACGCGTTATCTTTTTTGGTTAAAATAATTAAATAGAAAAAATAGGAAATAGCAATAATATTTTTTTTTAATATTTATCATCTGTCTTTTTATTAGGTACATTAATTGAAAATACCAATACAGAAAAAATAAAAAATAAACATTATTATGAAATAACCACATCCATGAATGCATTGTGCAATATTGGTGCAAAAATTGTAAAGCTTTTTATATAGCTATTTTATTTATTCATTTATCATTTTTTTCGCGCACACAAGGATATTATTGTACAATTAACCTCGGTTTCCGTTAGTTCTTTTTACTTTTTATTGGATTCATTTTGAGGTAGCCTTCAAATAATTCCTCTTCAGGTTTAGTCGGTGAAGAAAAGGGCAAATCTTGATAGTAAAAATTATTTTGCTGATTGTCCATTTTCACGTAAGGATCACTCAGGTCAACGTAGTACTAAAATGTAAGAATTATTTTCAAAATTCATTTTAAAACATGAATGCATAAATTATCATGTACTCTTTTAAAATTGTCGTCTAATATTTCGCCAAATATTTTGACCAGCTCCTCAAAATCAGGCCTTTTTGCAGGAGCTCCTTCCCAGCAGCTCAGCATGATCCGATATCTCAAAATTTTTCAATTACTCAAACATAAACTTTGGCTTTATAAATTGAATTACATAGATGATGTTGCGTGTTGGGGCTTGTCCATTCGGTACCCATCACAAAGCGTCTGCACAAATTGTGTGTCCACGGTAATGCCTGTGTATCCAGTCTCAAATTTTGTATTGTTTTAAATAATTTGGAATAATAACCTGGATAGGGTGTAATGGCTAGAGAGAAAAATTCCCAGAGCACGATCCCAAAAGACCACACGTCTGATCGAGATGAAAAAATTCGGTGATTGATTGATTCAATTGCCATCCACTTGAGCGGAAGAGGATCCTTTTGTTTGAGAAATATTTAATCTGATTAAATTTGCAAAACTAAATTAAAAAATTATTACATCTCCCTTTTTGAGGTAGTTGACGTCATTATACAAATTTCGGGAGAGACCAAAGTCACAAATTTTGACCACGTTATACTCGGCCAGTAGGATGTTTCTCGCGGCCAAGTCAGCATGCACAATCTCAATTAACACAGAAATCAAGATAGATTTTTCCAAGGAGAAAATTTTTTATGAACCTTTTTGGATGCGAGGTACTGCATGCCTTGTGCCAGTTGATAACTCCAGCAAACCAAGTCTTTGGTAGTTACACGCGCTGGTCGAATTTGTTCAATCTGTTCTTCGTCTTCCTCGCCTATTGCAAAATCAAGAGTATCCTTCAGGTGGTCGATCTGATCCACAAAATTATCTCTTTGCAGCAGAAGATACGAATGTAGATTTCCGTAAGGACAATACTCCACGATGACCAATAATTCCTCTATAAATAATCGTTATAAAATTTTGTTAAAACTTTGATGAAAAATATTGTCTCTCAACTGTTGCTCAAATTCACAGTGCAGGCACCAAGCAAGTTGACTACATTCAGGTGCTTCCCGAGGTGCATCAAAATTTTTAGCTCTTTCATTAACGCCTTAATGTGGGAGAGCTCGGCGTTTGGTTTGACCATTTTTACAGCAACCACCGTAGGTCCTTTTGGTTTGTTAATATTCCTTATTTTCCCTGCCAAGCCGATTGTCGCCCCACACAATGGGGCATTTGCTTCCGCGAGAACAACCATACCAAAAGCGCCACTTCCAAGTTTTTTACCTGTACAATTTTTGTGCAGCTTAAATGAAAAATTCGGAAAAATAGAGTTAAAAGAGAGGTGAATCTGATTTCTTTGAAAAAATATAATATCTAATTTCATGAAGTTATTGGATATATTGATTTTTTTTCATCTTATTGGGAATAATTGTGATCTAATTCATACCTTACCTAGTTTGAGGTGCTCTCTAGGAAATTCGTAGTTTTGATTGTACGGCAAAAGGTCTGCCTGCTGATCAAGGGCCACATTATGGTCTATGTACTCCGTCGCACCCTCCAAAAATAGCTGGACTTCCTGATTTGTCAGTTTGTTAACTTTTAACTAATGATAATTGAGAGAAAATCGTTTATTTCTATTTAACTTGACAAAATTTTTGCAAATACCTTTTGCTTTCGGACCACGCACAAAAGAAAAATTACTAGAAGAAAAAGGAAAATTATGACCGGGGTCAAATAAATTAAAAGTTTCCAAGGACCTAAAGTTAAAATTTAAATTAAAATGATATTTTCAATTTTATTTTCTTGCTAACTTTTTTCTGTAAGTTTGAATCGTTTAAATATGTAATGATTTGTTTTCCATCCGTGCACTTGGCATTCGTAAATTCCATAATCGGATTCCTTGACTTGTGATATTTTAAGATGCATTCCTTCTGATGGAAATGAAAATCTTGAACTATCATTTTCTGTCAGTGGCTCTGACCGTGCGTTCTGCAAAATGAATTTTGTTTGCCTTTCATATAACTAAATTTAAAAAAAATCAATTACATGGAACCAGTGAACCACTGGCGGAGGATATGCTTCCACCGTACAATCCAACTCTATTGTAAGTCCTTCACTCACAGATAAATCTTCATAAAGACTGGATTTCAAAAATTTGGGTGAAATTACTTCTGCAGAATTACAAAAAAACTTAAATTTAATATATTATCTAAAAAATAATTTCATACTGACTTTGTGGGTCAAGGTTGTATGATTGTTGAATCAATTGACCTCCATCATTTTCGCACTCTGCTTTGCAGCTGTAATTTCCAAAATCGATAGAGTTGTTTACATTACTTTTATTGGCCTCACTGATGTAAGAATAATCGTCTTCGAAATTAAAAATTTGCCAATCTGGAAAAACAAGGTAAGGGAAATTTAACCAAATGTAAGAATAAAATAAGAATACTTGATGTCTCAGGACTCTCAGGGAGAAGTTCAGTTTCAAGTTTATCGTGTCTCTGGTACGACCATTTCCACTTCCTTTTGCATGGATACTTTGGAACGTAACACAAAATTCTTACATCGTCACCCTCATACACTATTTCGGAATTCGCATCAATTTTGTTTCCGTGTATTACGTTGGTTATGACAGTGACTGACGAATTGGAGTCACAACCATTTGAATTGCAAGCCTTGCAAGTGAGTTTTCCGGTCACGTTTGTATTTAAGTAGTAAAAGGAGTAGGCTTTTGTCGTCTTTAAATTTTGATTAAAAAATTGACTTCCAAATAGCTATAGCACAATTTACCCATAATTTTTTTATTTTATTTTGATGTTTTTGGCTAGCGTTGTCGCAAGCTTGGCTAAGGCATTCAAAATCAGAAGTAAAATTTGACTTCCGTCCAGCTCTGACCTTGCAGCTGATTCCGCACTGCCTGCTTGGGCTTGGAAGGCAGTATGCCACGGGATGCGTTATTTCTACTTTCGGCTTGGCTGAAAAGAGGATTTAATTTCCAATTCAAAATAGTTTAGATGCCAATAATTTTTCACCGTCAATTTTTAGCGTGAGATTGAGCTCAGCTTGGCCTCCATCTGCACTGGCCACAATGCGATGAATTCCTTCGTCAGAATCGTCTGGATTTATTAAAACAAGGGTTTTAAAAAATATGTTATTTGGTCCTTCTTCATTTTTAATAAAGTATCCTTTTTCTTCTGAAGCTAATTCCCCCGATGGCCTGCAAAGCAAAATAATAATATTAAGCAATTCCAAAATCAATTATGAAGAAAACTTACAGAAACCAATCGACCTCAGCTTCACTTGGGATTACTCTTACAAACCATTTTAAACTGGGGGGAATATTCCCTGTTAGATGAACGTTCCTACTAAACTCGTCAACATACAATGTCACATCTGTTGATAAAAAAATTTATTAACTAATTTTCTCTTCTACGCCTTTTCCAAAATAAAAATGCAGCTGGTTTTGTCAAGGAATAATTCTATATTCCTTTTGGAAATGAGACAAGTAGTATATTAACAGTTGAAGCTTTTGTTTCTATTATAGCGTGTAATTATTTTGTATTTTTGGTACCGTATCTGAATGGATGTACCAAAATAAGAGTTGAATTTTTAAAACTGCCATTTTCGTAACATGAGTATGTGCCCATGTCCTCGGTCCAGGCATCAATGATGGAAAAGATAGACCGCCGAGGATTGTCTTTGAAAGTTATATGGTGTCGATAGGTGCCAGTGGCAGTCTGAATGTTGTGAAAATTATTTCCAACTTACTATATTGGTAAAATTAAATACCGTAATATTTCTTGCAACGAGTTCCGGAGATAAGTGCCACGTTAACTCCCCGTCACCAATGCATGAAAAGGTGATGTTCGAATGCTTGAAGAACGTCTTGTGAGGCATGTCAATTTGGCATTTCACTGAAAACTCAGTTTTCCAATGATATATTTAGAAATTGTTTTAAAAATATTAACGAAAGAAACAACTGATAATTTTACCTGTGTAAAAAAGTGAGAGGATTGGAAAAAGGAACCTGAAATTGAAATCCATTTTAGACTTATAAGAAGAAACCGTCTCATGGTCTGTCTAAGTCTAAAAGGAAGTGTTAAAGAACCTCATTATATTTCCGCTGCTCAACCGCAAAATCACGACAAACAGAAACAAAAAACATGATGCCTTCTCTATACAACTAAAAAATAATGAAAAATGTTTTTTATTCATTTTACTTAAGCTGCCTAGCTGCGCGTGACAAATTTAAGAATCCCAAAACAAGTCGATGCATGCTCATTTTAAAACGTTTATGCATCCCGCGGAACGTGACTGTAATGCATGTTGCATACCTTTTAATTTTCTGGTTGCATTTTTAACGATTTTTAATATTACTTTTATTACAAGACATCTTCTGCAATTTTGAGATTTTTTGTTATCAGCATAAATCATTTTCTTGGTCCTTCGGAAAATTGTATTACGTAAAGATTCCAAGAAGCCCAGTTTGATTTTTGGACTTCTTAATATCTATTTATTAAAACAAAAAATTATTCTTCAAGGGAAAGTAATTTAATTTCCAATTTTATTAAAACAGGGCAATACAGGGAATAGCAAAGATAAACATCATATTAAGGGGATTAATCTGTGTATTTATTATGGTCCAGTTATAAAAATTGAGCTCATTGTTGAAAAACACGTGCGCGATATAATAAAAATTTATTTACATATACAAATGAATTCGATGAGATAAATTCACTATTAGAAATAATATGTATTTCTTCTATTTACACATACACACTGATATAAAATTGCACCTAAAATGTTACTCGATGGCGCGCCCAGTTTTCCCAAGAAAAAAAAACGAACAAACCAGGCGCTTACAAGTTGAACGCTGTTTGGAGGGTGATCAACAAAACATGCATGGTGGTAAAAATATGTATGATTGGGGGGTCAACAAGCAATTAATCACCTTACAACAGTATTTCGTATATAATTGTATAATGCAACACTTTGAGCAAATGGAATTTTTTATTATGATTCAACTGCTGCTCTTGTTGACTTGCTTTTAACCAAGAGTACACTATTATCACAGACGCTGCTGCAAGAACAATAATTGGGAAAGAGCACCGATTCAAGATTGAATTTGCAAGTGAGAAAAGACGACGTACGCGAAAACAATTTTTTTAATGATGTTTCTTTTGAAAATCGTGAAATATGACAAGGAAAAGAGTGTAAACAATGTTCTAGGAACATGGAGTAATATATGTCAAGTATATATTTGTAAGTTGCGATTGCAGAAAACGCAGTCAAATAAATTTCTCAAGGGCTCTTCACTCCTCCTAAAATGGTGCTCATAATTTTAGAATTTTTTGAAATAAAAAGCGATTTGACACAGCATTGAAGGGCGATTGGTCGCTAAAAAAATCTCTCATTTTTACTAAGTTGAAATAGAAATAGGTTGGCTGCATGAGGTTGTTCACACGATTTATCAGACCCCAAATTTAAAGGACGATAAAAATTATTGTAAAATCTTTTGAATTCGCTAAGTCAAATTAGAAAATCGTTCTTAAAATTTCCCATAAAGTTTGATGAACTTTGACGTCAATGTATTTAGCTTAACAGTTAAGTTGATTTTTGAGAAAATTTAAAAATTCATAATATTAATATTATTATCGGAAGCCTTTGAGTTATTTCAAGTTCTAGAAAAACTTTGTCCTTGAAATTGTTGAAATGAAACGTGTTTTTCCCTATTCAAATTGGACTCTAAAAAATAATCATTCAATTGCTCAAAAGTAATAAACATTCTAAATTTAATTTAATGAAGAATTTCACGACCTGCATTTTTATCTAGATCTTCGAACAAAAAAAATCAGTATAATGAAATTAAGATGTTTAAAAAAAGTATATATAAAAAGTAAAAAACATATTTGGCGGAAAATTTAAGCCTGAAAATGGAATTTTAAGAGCGTTGTTCTAACCTCATTTCTTTCTAATTTAATGAATCTGAAATAAACGCTGGTCAAATTTTCGTATCTTAAAATTTTGAGTCTTGACCTTAAAAGTGGGAACCTCTTTGAAAACTAACTAAAATCGAGATGATTTATCACAACCAATCAACCTCCAACTGGAATCGCTAATAATTTCTAAGCACATAGGTATTTCTAAACTAAAAAAAATGCAAGAAATATTTCAAAACTGGCAGTTCTTCTCCACAAGTTTGGCGTTTGATTTAGAGCACTTGGACAATTTCAGTGAGAGCCTTGTTTTCTTTCTTTTTGTCTTCCCTGTGTCACTGTGGCGCGAACAGGCAGGGTTGGGCGGCCGGGTCGGCGGTGGGCAGCGGCCGGGGTTGCGGGGGGTCGAGCAATAGGTACGACTCGCGGACAATCATGAGTCGGTGCTGGTTGTGGATGATGAACTCGCTGCCCCGCCGGAACTTTTCCTTGCCCCGCTCGATGTTGGCCTTGCTGAAGATGACTTTGCGGTAGGCGCGGGCACAGCTGCACGCCAGCACAAAGAAGCCGACCAGTGCCATGCCGTACGAAAAGATGGGCACGGCGATGTCCGAGAAGGTCGTCGCCAGGTAGATCCACCGGTGAATCTCGGGGGTCACTTCACTCACTCCCTATAAAAATATTGAACAATATTTATATTTCAAATTCTGGAAATCATCTTTAATTCTTTGAGCTTTCATTGACAAATAATATTTTGGTTTATACATGATTATATTTTAAATAAAAAGGTTACCAACCTCTTCAGCCCAAATGATCGGAAACATAATGGATCTGAATTTGGCTACTGCGTTGATGAACGACTGCTTTTCTACTTTTAGGTTGAGCTGCACCTTCACGCTTGCTTCTAACGTGACACCTAATTTCTGCAAAATTTGTCATTAACTTTTAAATTTTATTTTCAACAAATCGGATCTTACTGGCTGAATCTTGAAGAAGGTTCCATGCTTCTCCTTGCTGGGTTCCAAGCCTTCGACAGCCGCCAGGAGCTTCGGGTCAGCTTTGTAGAAATGGGGGTAAGACAAATAGACCGGCGCCTCTGTAACAGTGACATTATTTGTTATTTAAAAGTACCAAAAATGTTGATTGATAGTAAAGATATTTTAATAAAATATTTTTACTGTAATAAAATAAAACGTTGTGAAATTATAAAATACAATTTTCCCAACAAAATCTACATGTCATTTTACAGTCTCTTATTTTTGTGACTTGTAACAATTTGGACAAATAAACAACAATAACAATACAATTTTTTCGCCAGAGCTATTGTTGGCTTGAGGCTGCAATGACTATTTAACCTAACTTAGTCTTTGCAAAAGTTTTCAATGAAAAAATTTATGACTTTTTGCAAATTCACACAAACTGATATAATTAAATTTTTTGTGATGTTTGAAAACCATTTAAGTGTAAAAGAGCAACAATTTTAAAAAAAATATCTAAAAGAAGGGCTGCATTTAAAATAAATGAACCTAGTCGAAGCTATTCAATCACATTTTAAATTTAATTTATTCAACTGCTGGCAAGCCACAGCTTCAAATAGGTTAGACTATTTTGTTAGTCCCCTGTATTTTTCTCTTTAAAATTATTAAGAAAACAATCAAGATCAATTCCTATATTAAAATTTGCAGGTTCTTAAACGTTCCACTTTTAATGAGTATCATAATAATAAAAAAATGAATCACTGTGGCATTGGGATTATAAGTACGCTTGAATGTTTTTATTCGCCCGTTATGGCTTTGGCAGGTGTAGGCACGCACTGAAAGGTCAGAGGGAGTGCCGAGACATTTTTATCTGCCCAAGAGGAAGATCACCGACTATAATATTACGCAACGGAAATTCTCAAACAATAAGTCACTTGCATTGCAATTGTGTATTAAAAGTATTAATACGTCAAGAAAATCGCATTCGACCCACGCCTGTCCGTCGCCATCACACACCAATGTCTCTTTTGATCGAACGACCTAGCTCTCGCAGCCTCTCGGCTTGTTGTGATCAATCGCGGCTTTTATGATTTGGCGAGTACTATTAAGTCACCGGTGCAATGAAATAAAATGCAGTACACATGCACTTTCTCTTACGGTTATGCAGTCGCCGGCCGACTTTGACTCATTACACATTTTTTTCTTCAACTCTCGTCTGGCCGAAACCACAACAGGGCCGGCCGAGTTACTTTTAAAAGTCTCAATGGCGCCGCCGAGAGCCATCCATGAAGAACATGCGAGACTTGACGTCTCCTCAGAATAACATAAAATTCCCGTTTTGGTTAAAACTAACTAAATGTATACAAGTTCTCGGGTAAATATATATCTAGTTCTCAATTCGGTCGTTATTCGAATCGCCATCCGAAGGTTAAGCGCACTTTCACTGCAACAAGTGCTGGACCAACAATAAAACTTGCAGTGCAGCTGATTTGCATCACCGAGAAATTTCTCTCGCCCGCGCTGGAGAAAAGTGGAAGCAGAAATTAATTCAGTTTAGTTCCGCCCGCCCGGTTACGTTCTCCTCTCTTATGTCACTCGCATCTCTCTTCTTATGGCGTGCCGCGCCGGTTGCATAACAAGCGCCTTTTTCGGTTGCTTCCTCTTGTATTTCAGTTGCAGAGAGGAAGTTTCTTTCGTTCCGAGATAGGTAAAATTAATTCATTAATGAAAGTCCGACTTTCCCTGAAATCAAAAAGCCGACGGCGCAAATCCAATGGCCGCACGTGTTATGGAAAGAAAAAATATTTTCCAGCCACTCCTCTCATAAACAAGTGTGAGCGCAATCGATCGTTGTTTATTAGGAAATTGCAGCACGCAAATTATCACTTTTCACTCGCTCGAGTAGCGGAAAACTCTAATTATGCCTCAATCTGTCATAATCTCTTTTGATTTGGATTATTTCTGGTATAAAATGTATTACTGGAACTCCAAATTTCAAAATTTTTTTTCCCGAAAAGTGAAAAATTGAATTATTAAATATTGACATTCTTAAATTCAAATCAATATGGTTTTAAGACTTACGATACTGGCAGGGACTGATGTTCTGCAGTCCTTCGGGGGCGCAGTCTTCGTCCTCAGGACAAAAGCATTTGTTATCGGGGTTGTCCGCAGCTGAAGTTAACGTGTCGTCGTCGGGAGTGTAAAGACCGGCCAGAATTCCGTCTTTGGCCGTGTCACTGCGATACCTGAATGAAATTATGACGCATTTTTAAAGACTTTTAAAAAATATTTTGAAGTTGTTATTATTATGAGAAACTTCTTACTGAGATCTCTAAAGTTTGTTTCAAAATACGCAAATTTGAAAATTATTTATAAAGATAGTATCAGTTTGATCTGTTTGATGTAAAGACCTCAAAAAATGTAAAAGAATATAATTTGTTATTGCAAATACAAAGATATTTTATGACAACTTTAAAATGCTAAATTTTCCAAATTTTCAAAATTGAAGTACTATAAAGTACAAAAATAACAAGTTGTTAATTTTTTAATATACCTGAGTGGGATGGCCCTGCACAAGTCTTTGTCGTAGACATAAAGCAGGTCCGATTTGGTGATGGACTTTGGCGGAAAAAGGGAGCCCTCGCTGGCGTGGCGGATGGTGTTGCACGGCGCCTGCTTCCACTGGGGTAGGTCGGCGCGTCCATTCAGCCGGTCGTAGAGGCCAAACTCGGTCATATTGGTGTGGCCGGTGAAAATGTTGTAGACATCGCTCAGCGTGCCGTTACGCTAAAGGGGGCGAAAATCAAATCACAAAAAAATTAGTAAGTGTCAAATTTATTTTTATTTTTGAGGAAAACTAATTAAATTTCAAAACTTGTATTTAAAGATCTAGAGTTTATTTAAATATTTTAAAGATAACTCATTTTTAATTTGCACTCTAATGATTTTTTTTAATTTCATATTCTATAAAAAAAATTCCCCCAATTATAAATGTAAAGCAGCACAGGATTTAAAATTGTTGATAAAAATGTCAGCTTTAATAAATTATTTTCCTCATTACGAAGTTTTGTTTTTGTAAAATAAAATGAAAATTATATAAAAAAAATTTACCCCCAAGAGGAGCCCCATGAGCCGCATGGGCCGTCGGTGCTTTGGGAAGAACTTGTTCGCCAGCATGACCAAAGGGTCGTCGTATCCAAAGGCCAGCTCCTCAGGCGTGACCTCGACGAACGCCTTGAGCCCCATCGTTCGTATTGCTAAACTCAGTCCGAGCCGCATCAGCTTCGGCAAACTGGTGCTCAGGTAGCTCAGCGTCTGTCGCACGCGTTCAACAATTAGATTAATTTGTACACGGAAAGGTCGAGAAACGCGCTCGGGATGAACGAACGATCGATTAATTTACTCACCAGCAGGGGAATGTTGGGCACCACGATCTTCTGGTGCGGGTCGCCCACGGACAGCTCGGGCACGAAATGCAAAATTTTCCTGTGCTGGAACGAAAGGGTGCCGTTCTTGTGGAACACTACGTTCACCTTCTCCATGTTTTCTCTAAATTTGAAAATTTTTTAATTATAGAAAATAGAAAGGGTGATTTTTTTTTTTATTAAACTGACCTGTACACATAAGGCCCAATTTCGTTGAGCCGCGGCTTTTCGCCATTGTTGAGGAACCCGTCGGGGTTGGTAACATTAAATATGTAAATTTTGGTCAGTCTTGTGACGCCTGGTTTTTGCCAGTAGTGAAAACTGATCGTGTCATTCCATAACCTTAAATTCTGAAAACGAAAGAAATTTGGTTTTTTAAATGGTCTGAAAATCTTGGGACAATTAAATTATTAAATTACAAATATTAAAAATATTGTTTGGAACAAATAATTTTTGTTTCTAGAATATTGTTTTGTATTTGTAAAGGTTTTTCAGAGCGGAAGTCATTTTTCTTTATTTCAATATTTAAAAAAAATTTTATTGTTACAACAATATAACTCCAAAAATGAGTACTGATTTTTCTAGTATATCAAAGCAATAAACCATTCAGATAAATACACAAAATTATATGTTTTTGTGTGCAAGAAAAACCTTGAATTAGTTCAAGATTTCAATGGGAAAATATTGCGGTAATTCCGCGCGATTCCTTCTCGGTTTTTGCATTTCACGCTCGATGCTGCGTTTGAATGGTCGGAGAAAAATGCAATTGCAACGGAAATTGATGGAGCGAAACTTACTTTGTAGATGAAATAGTCTACCCAGGGTATCGAAGAGAGCACGATGCCGACGATCAGGGTGAATAACCCCAGCATGAACACCGCCAGCCGACCTGCGAACAAAACGTTTTTCGATGAGCGCCTCGAGTACAAAAACACTCGCTGACAATAAATAATTTAAAGTATTTCAAATTGTCTGGCCATTCATCTTCTCACACAATGTGAAGAAGAAGAAGTGCAGTTTGTTGGAATTAATAATCATTAAGTGAGAAGGAAGGCTTCTCGTGTCAAGAGAGGAAGACGAATTTTGAGCGACTGTCAAGTGCAGTTCAGAAGATAATGAACTTAAGTGTCTTTTCGTTCATTGTAAACTTCAATAGGTTTTCTAGATTTTTTTCAAGGCGATGCAATGTTTATGAGTTATGAAAGAACATTGTTAAGAGACTTTAATTAATTGTAAGACCATTTCTAATTAAAGATGCATAAATTCAAATCGTAAGATCTGTTGTATTTCAGGTTCGATGTAAATTATTAATTTAACTTTTGGTATAGACAATAAATTTCACCGGAGGTTGCCTCATATGGTAGATTTTTATGGTATTTATTTTCAAGATAGATGTACACCAATGAACTTAAAACTAATCCCCATAAGTCAGTGAAATGCTGATGTCCTTAATAGAATTATTGAATTAAATTTGTGTATTTTGAAAGCATTTAAAAATGGGAGCAAATGACAATGAATAATTGCAGGTAAAATACATTAACTGAGGAAAAAAACCTACTTTTTTTTTGATAACATATTTTTATTTGCTATGAAAAACAAGTCTTAATAAACGTTTTACTTTGAATATAAAGAGGTTATAAAAGTTTAAATCACGCAATGAAATTAAATTAAATTAAATGATAACACTTTATTCCGTTTTGATGCTATAATAAAAAAAATTTAAACAAACTTGTTCAATCTACTAACAGGAGTTAAAAATTCTTGACAGTTTTGAAGTTTTGAAATATTGATGTTTATTTTCGTGTCCAGGATAGTAAATAATATAATAGCCTCCAAATACTATTCATCATCTCCATTGAAAAAGTCATCATTTCAATTCATTCCTCTCCATTCATTCAAATCATCAGACTTGATGACTCCATTTGTGAAAACAACGCGTGAAAGACGAAAAGCGCGAGCGTCATACGAATAAATTGCGAATAAATTCACTACTTTCGAGTGGCTCTCGCCGTGCTGCAGCTATTGCAAAATCCGCCTCGCTGCATGTGTGTGCGCGCATGAAATGCAGCTCGATCTTGAGAGTCGGAATGCAGTCTCTCGGTGGTGCAGTGGCCTACTGACCAATAATAATAATAATGCGCTGCAGCCAGCAGCTTTCTAATCGCCAGTTAAATAAGGATGCGATTTGATTCAATTACGTGAGTGCGCGGCGAGATGCGTACGCGCTTTTATCGGCCACGCTCGTTTTCTCGTAGCTTTTTGCACCATCACACCTAAAGTAAAAGCGGAGACTGAAACCGAGTTGCACTCGCGAAAATTGACGAATGCAACAGCTGTTGGAGCAGCATTTGGTTTTTGCACGCCATATGGTTAGCTGGTGTTTGTTTAATTAAAGAAAATTACAACAAGTGTTTTGTCATTAGCAAATTTTTTGTTAGAGACCAAAAGTGATAATAAAAGAAGTTATTATGTTCGTTTATTAAATTTAACGTTTTTTTCCCAATTTGCATCCATTAAAGATCAACCAAAATAAAATATTTTCTCTTCATATCTTCTTTTATCTTTGCAAATATCAAACGCCATTAGTGTTTGAGAAATTGAATGCTGCTAGCAATTTTTTATCTTTCCTATATGAAAAAGTCTTTCTTGTAGATTTTTAACTCTCCTCATCAATTTTCTGGGCTTCCCAACAAAATAATTGAATTATTATGGTTTTTTTAACCATTTATAAATAAACTTTCAGCATACGACGTCCCTTTTTGATGAGAAATAGTTCCTTTTCTTTAATAGTTATAAACGGTTTATCTATCATAATGTAAATTTTTTTTTTACATTTTCATTTTCCAATAAATGTAAATTATTATTTTGCTCTCGCTTTTGAGAGATCGATTCTGACCTGATGCAGAAAGAAATAATCCTGCTGGTCAGGCACACGCATTTGAATTAATCGCGTAATTATATGCTCACATGGTGCACTTTCATCTTTCATCGAGAGGTGCAAGTAATCTTTTCCAACACACAAAGCAAAACCTGTGTGACCAGCAATAGTCTGTGTGTGTGTGTGTGTGAGAGCGAGTGTGTAAGTACAATCGAGCGCCGACTTTCATCTTCATTCATTCACCACACACGCGGCCGCGGAGAACAAATATGACGAGGAATAAAATTATCGTGTGTACAAGAAGTGTTGTTAGAAGTTGTCTCTGTACAGTACAGAAATTTTCTTTATAAACACATGATGGGTTTATTTCTGTTTTGAGAGAAGAGGTGCAAATAAGATTCTCATTACAAGCAAATATTTAAAAGACAAAAAACTAAAATCTGTTTTTCCCGAACAAAGAGATTTCAAAATAGAAAACAAAACTACCAGAGCTACTAAAAATTTCAAATTGCCAAATTCCTTTCTGGAGCAAAAAATAACTATTGAGCCTCTTTTTTGTGATAAATCTCTTTAATATGGTAGTTTTATAGGGGCTTTATTATTGATTGCTCTTTTTTAAATCACCACGCATTTTTTTTTTTTAATAAAAATTAGAATTTAATCATTGCTTTTTGATCAAAATAATACATAAATATTATTTGAAATCATTTTTTTTAAAGCCAGAATAGTTCATAACTTGCTAAAAACTTGTAACTCTTTTATCTGGTTTTTTCATTTCCAAAAACTAGAAAACGGTTTTCTACTCATTAGTAATGGTGACATTCAAAAATTGTCCACTATTACGTCAATGCGGCATTTTCAATGCTACGCATTTGGTCGTTAACATAATTGAGTGAATCGTCCGCTTTTGACTTGGTATTATAGCATATTCGCGAATACCTACTTTTTTTCAACCGAGGCACGCAAACCTTGAGCGGAATTTCATAATCATAAATATCGCATTGTCCGGCAGAGAAGAGGAAAACGCTGGTTCATCTCAATGTCTTATTATGGCTCCACCATAAGAACTGCGAAGTTGTTCATTTTGCAGGAATATAAAGCATAATAGAGTGATAATCTCTGTGCACCAAGAAGTTATTTTCAGACTCTTCAGTTGCGAATTTTTTATATGAGATATGATGAGATATAATAAAAAATAAACTTGGAAGAGCAGACAATGAATTTTTCTTCAAAACCTTGCTTAAATCATCACTCCGATTTTCCAGTCGACAAAAAATTAGTAAAAATTTTGACCATCAGTGTTTGGCTTAAGAGGGATTGCGCCACAGTACGCATTTGTATTTCTGGCACAATCAAATGGGGCAAAAACAGGCTTAAGGCCTTGGTTGGAAATTTTCGCGGAAAGCAAACGGCGCGATTTCGCAATGTCACCTTACCGTGAAATTCGTTTCCAGTCGAGTCATGAATTTTGTTCGCAACCAGAAGTTGGTTGGGTGCATCTCCGAAACCAAGTTCCTGGTGTGCGTTTAAGTGTTTTTGTCGTTCATTGTTTGTGCGCCGGGTATGCAGCAAGTGCAAAAAGGAATGGACTAGCGTGAGGTTGGAAAAATAAAGTCGGATAATTTAGCTGCGTTAGTTACAGAGCACAATAAGCCGGTCTTTTCAATTGTGCAGATTGTCACAAATAGAGAGAGGTGGAATCGGTAGAACGTTCTTGCTATTGCAGTCTAGTGTCATTGTAAATGATGAAGATTTCTGTCCGAAAAATTGTAATTAAAATTACGTAAAAGAATTGATCTGATTAGATATTTAATACATAGTTGAAGATATCTAATTAGTTTCATTAGAAAAGTTTAATTTAGACATTAATTTGTTACATGTTGCATTTTGTAGAAAACCCATGTTTTGAAAATTACTTTCAATTTAAAGTGCGGAGGGATCAAACTTATAATTAGAACTTTTATTCACCCCAAAAAAACTCAAGTTTTGAATTACATATTATCAAGTCTTTTAATGATATTAAATATTTTTTATTATCTTATTTAGCAATTTATTAACAATTTTGTTATACACATAAACAGATATATCAAAATTATGATTCTCCTTAAAGACTGGAAAGCCAGGATATCTAAAATAGTATCATATTTGCAATAATATTTTTTTCCCAATATAAATCTATTTTCAAAAATTATTAATTATTGTAATGTTAAAAAAGGTAGTTTGCAGAAATGATTATAACATCTAAATCATAAGCGTTAAATCAACGTTTCAAAAACTATAGAAATAGTTGATTATCATTAAATTCATCGACTATATTTTAATATTTTATCTTACCATCAAAAATATATTTTTTTAATTCTAACGTTTAATAATAATAAATAAGAAAACTATTTATTGAAACTTACCACAGAAACTTTTAATAATAGCTTACAAATTTTTGAACATTCAACATTAGCTATTATTACTTTCTAAATTGTTGCCTAATCCTAAAAGTGTAGCTTTAATATTTGCAAGTGAACTTCAAATATTGGATTTTCATTAGAGACCATAGTGTGGAGAAGGTCCCGACTGAGGTGATCAGAGCACCAAGTTGTGATTAACACGCATACTTGGCGCTCGTTAAACAAAAAGACACTTTCTGCAGCACATATATTTGATTAGTCATGATCTTGAATTCAACAGAGACGCTCAATTTATTTTCTCTCCTCTCTTTGTTGGCTGCGTTTTATATCGGTACACAATAATATGCACGTGTTCATAAAGCGTTGCCTAATTTTCGAGCATGTCCTTGTTTTATACGAAATGTCATTTAATGAAAGGACCGCACGTGTTGCCACAGTAATAATTGCTTCCTCCAGTGAAGAGATTTTACACCTCTTAACGACGCTTGCGTTAATAAAAAAATGAATTGATTTCCATAATTTCTCTCCGTCGCGGCGCAACAAGCGTGATTAACGCACGTGACCAGAGAGAATCATTTACGAAACTGATTAATACAAATAATATCCTTC